TGGACCTAATAATTTGTACGTTGAGTAAGCACTTGATTTGTTTTATGATCCATTTGTTTGTTTTCTGGCAATCTATAGCATTCTTAGGAGTTATTTTCAGAGTGTCAGTACTCTTTTTATCCAGCTTCTTGATATTTCTTGCATGATTCTGTGTCTTCATGATCAGGTATAAATACATCATGGCATCTGAATATATTTTCTAGGGTCTTCATTGCTATGCAATATAGTGCTAGTTTATAGCATATTTGCTAGTTCTTTTGTTGGTAGTTCATTCTAAAAAGCAAAAGCTATTGTTAATAACTTCATGGTCAGTTCTAAGGACGGTTGCCAACATGTTGTAGCCAGTTGGAAAACATTCCTTGTTTTTTTGTGTGTCTCTATTTTTGATGTCCTTAAATATTTTGCAATAATAGCTTTCAGAAATTCTTTGCTAAGTGCCTTTCCAAGAGCTTTATTTTTCTTGAAATTTGCTTCTCTTCTTGGCAATTTCCATCATTTGTTCTGACATGTAACTTGATTTCTTCTATTTCTTGGTCTTTTGACAGTTTCTTTTAATCCTTAACAATTTCCTTGATTTTGTTCCATAGTTTCTATAGTTCCCTAACAAAGTGATTCCTGATCCTCCCCTTGAAAATGGTGAGCTTATACTCAAGGTCCTATCGTGGAGACTGATTGGCTTTGTTCTTCCACTTTAGCTTGACTTGGAAGATGCACATCAGCAGTTTGTGATCTATTCCAGTTAAGCCTCTGGCCATAGCTTTCCTATTACACTATGATTGAGTTCATCCATCTTCTTGCACCAATAACGCACTGTGATTTTTGTGAACTCCATCTGGATATACTCATGTACGTAGGCGTCATTTTGGCTGCCGGAAGACGGCAATGAAGAAATAATTGGATTGGATAGCTTATTCTAATCTAAACTGTTTTTTCCTGTTTCATTTCAGTTTAGAGGCCACTTATCCAATTGTCCACTTATCCAATCCACCTTTCCTCCTTAATGTTTCTCACTTGGAAGCAGCTCAGGTTGCTTGGATATTTTTTTTAAATTTTTTATTTGTATTCCATCTTTATTATTTTTACAAATAAAGCAGTGCACATATCCAACATACCTTCCTTCTCCTATTTTCCCCACAACAACAACCCCGTGAAGTGACTTGGGGTGAGAGTGACTGGTCACCCAGCTGGCTGTCATGGTTGGCACTCAACCAAAATGGCTTGGATGTTTTCAGTTTTAGATTGAAAGTGACCATAAAACCCATTAGCTTCTGCATTGGTAGTTGGAGAGTAAGACTGGACAACTGTTATGAAAAGGGTATCTTTACAATTTCATTGTGACTTACCGTTGCCTTCTCCCATGCAGTATGAAATTCCATTTTTATTGTTGTGACTAAAGTGATAATTCACCTCTAGCATCTTCTTAAATAGTTGCTTTTCAGTATATTACCTGCTTGCTTTAGCTCAGGAGTGTCAAACTGCTGGACTGCGGACTGGTTGCATCATATGGAGGCCTTGCCCACCCCAGCTCTGGCAATGTGAAAAAAGTTGCGATACGTCGCGACATGTCACGTGATGTGGCGACTTTGATGCCCATGCTTTAGCTGAGCAGCTGGGATGACTTTTACATCTCTGTGACATTGCTGAGAGTAAATATTTTTGATGTATACTGCCAGAATACTTTAACAAACTCAGAGAGAACCTATGAAATATCCCATGGATGAAAATCCTAAAGGAGAAAACAACCCAAGAATCTTGGGAAACTCTGTAAAATGCGATCATAAAAGCCCATGCCAGCACAATACCACTGAAAAAGAAAAACAAGAAATTCAAGAAGAAACCAGCATGGCTGCACAAAGATTATTATCATTATTATTATAGGCCGATTATCACCAGACAGCCAGAACATGCAAAGATGAAGTCAAGAAAGCAAATGCTCAGAACGAACAAACACTTGCAACAGAAATCAAGGATAATAAAAAAAAGTTTCTTCCAACACATTAACAAGAAAAAAATCAAGGAAACTGTAGGTCCATGAAAGAGAGAAGATGGCAAGGAAATAACAGGCAACAGGGAGAAAGCAGAACTGCTTAACTCATACTTTGCATCAGTCTTCACACAAAAAGAAACTATAGCCCAACATACAAAAAAAAACCACTACAAAAGACAAACTAGAAACAAAAATTAAAATAAGCAAGAAAATGGTAAGAGAACATCTATCCAACTTTGACGAGTATAAATCACTGGGGACCTGAAAGATTACATCCCAGAGTTCTGAAGAAGCTGGCAGATGTTATCTCAGAACCATTACACCACATCTTTCATAAATCCTAGAGCACCAGGGAAATACCTGAGGATTAGAAAAGGGCTTATGTCAGTGATGGCGAACCTTTTAGAGACTGAGTGCCCAAAAACTGGCCTTGCCATCACTCCACCCCCTGCCCCGCCCCCACCCCGCCTGCCCACAGGGCCACTCACCGCCTCCTGGGCCCGCCGCAGATCCCCCAGACAGCCCAGCAGCGCCATGGTGGCCACGCCCTCTGTCCACGCCCTGTAGCATCAACTGTGTGCAATGAGGCGTGAGGGCAGAGTCTTGTCCACGCTGCCTGGCTGCCATGTCCTTGGCTGCGCTGCTCCATGTGGGCCACGCTTGGGGGCGACTCTCCTCCAGGGGGGCTGCTGGTGAGGGCGGGGTCATGGGGGGAGGCGAGGCTGGGGCAACGGCACGTGCCCACAGAGAGGGCTCCGAGTGCCGCCTCTGGCACGCGTGCCATAGGTTTGCCACCACTGGCTTATGTTGTTCCCATCTTCAAGAAAGGGAAAAAAACAGACCCAGGAAACTATAGTTTAACATCAATACCTAGAAAAAAACAGATCTGCGAACAACAACTAGAAGCAAACAAATTTATAATTAGTAGCCAGCACGGGTTCGTTAAAAACAGATCATGCCAAACCAATCTTATTTCATTCTTCAGTAGAACAGCGACATGCTGTGGACGTAGTATACTTAGATTTCAGTAAAGCATTTGATAAAGTAGATTACAACCTACTCCTTGGTAAGCTAGAAAAAGGTGGAATAGGCAACATCACCACCAGATGGATCTGTAGCTGGCTGGCAAACCGTACTCAATGAGTAGTCCTCAATGGCACCACATCCACATGGAGGGAAGTAAGCAGCGGGATACCACAAGGTTCTATCTTAGGCCCAGTACTCTTCAATATCTTCATAAATGATGAGGGAATTGAAGCGGAACTCATCAAATTTGCAGATGACACCAAACTGACAGGAATAGCCAATACCCCAGAAGACAAAGGATCCAAAAAGATCTTGACAAACTTGAACAATGGGCCCTATCCAATAAAATGAGTTTCAACATGGAGAAATGCAAAGTTTTACATTTAGGCAGGAAAAATCAAATGTATAGATTGGGCAAGATCTGGCTTAAAAACAGTAACTGTGATAGGGACCTTGGAGTCCTAGTGGACGATCACTTGACTATGAACCAACAGTGTTCAGCAGCAACCAAAAAAGCTAATATAATCCTGGGTTATATAAACAGAGGCATAGAATCAAGATCATGCGAAGTATCAGTACCGCTTTATAAAACCCTGGTAAGACCACACCTGGAATACTGCAGCCAATTTTGGTCACCTATCACAAAAAAGATGTTGAGAGTTTGGAAAAAATTCAGAGAAGAGCAACTAAGATGATCAAAGGCCTGGAGATTAAAACAAAGAACGGCTGTGGGACTTGACTTTGGTTAGTCTAAAGAAAAGAAGAAACAGAGGAGACATGATAACAATATTCCAGTATTTGAGGGGCTGCCACAAAGAAGAGGGGGGTCATGTTATTCACCAAAGCACCAGAGGACAAGAAACAATGGTTGGAAGCTGATCAAAGAGAGAAGCAACCTGGAATTAAGGAGAAACTTCCTGACAGTGAGGACAATTAACCAGTGGAACAGCTTGCCTCCAGAAATCATGGGCGCTCCATCACTGGAGACTTTTAAGAAGAGGCTAGAGCTAGACAGTCACTTGTCTGAGATAGTATAAGTTCGCCTGCTTGAGCAGGGGGCTGGACTAGAAGACTTCCAAGGTCCCTTCCAGATTTGATTTGATTCGATTCTAATTCTAATAATTCTAATAATTCTATTCTTATTCTTATTCTATTCTATATAAAAAACTTTCCCTGCCATGATGAGGCAGGATAGTGGGCATGAAGATGGAATCACTAGTTAGGATTATTAAATTTAGATGCAGTATAAGCTTGGTTTGGGACGTTGCCTTATTTTAAAGAGACTAATGTAGATCAGGGGTGTCAAACTGCCGGCCCATAGGCCGGACACGTCATCCCAAAACTGCGCCCACCCCATTGCCGGCAATGGAGAAAAAGTTCTGATACGTCGCGAGTTTGACATGCCTGATGCAGATTGTTGTGTCTGTTGTATCTATGTGTTCTGTGGGAGACCCTAGATTGATGGAGCAACTGTTCACAATCACAATTACTTTTTTTATGTGTTTTTGTTTCAACTTTTTTTCTTGTTTTTTGATTTGTTGTGTATAATACTGATTCTTATTGAATCTGTGAGGGGACCAACTTTCTGTGAAGGAGGAATGGTATAGTTAGTCTGAGCACGGCCTCTTTTCACTCTGTTCCAAGGGCAGCTGCAACTGACTGCAGTAGAAAATAAAAAAGATGTAAGATGAGCTAGCTAGCCAACAAACAGGATGGTCAAATGACTTCCATCACCCCCTGTAGAGCACGCTGCTTTTGAAAAATATTCTTTTGTTAGAACTTGCCAACAGCAGCCTTATAGCCCAATTCTACGCATATAAATGGCTTCTTTTTCCATAGACAGGTAAAGTTGCAAAGTTATGTACCCACCCTTGTAATCACAACGATATCACACCCATCAATTATCAATGTCCACAGTGGGCAAACCATTTTTTGGATATGAGATTTTAATACAAGAGCCAAATTCTATTTTTCTTTCAAAACTAACCATATTTTTCTGTGCAGTGGCCAGTTCGAGCAAAATTCTCAAATTATGGATCAGAAGCCATGGTAGGTTCACCTCTGCTTGCTTCAGCCACTTAGAAGAACGGACTAAGTTTGTTCCAAGTGCCCAAGGCAAAGTAGATAAATAATGCCTGCAATTCAGCTGCACCTGCCAGGAGTAAAAATAAAAAACAAATCTCGTTTTCGGAACATTTCCTTATTTGAAGCCTCGGTTGAATTGCCAGCACTCTTTACTAACACGCGGCAATTAGCCTCCATTCTCCCTTTCTCCAAAGTCTGCCTGACCTTGGTCCCACGATCCGGTTCTCGCTTCGGACGGCCCTCCTCCTTCTCGTACACGTGGCAGACCTCGACTCGCTCATAACATACCTTCCCTTTTTTTTTTTTAATCCTATACTCCGGGAAATGAGAGTTGCTTGCAACGGCGACTCTGACAATCTTAGGATGAGTGTAGTCAATTATTCAATCAACCAAATCAATTTTAGCCGACTGTTAACAGCAGCGGACTTTCCTGCAAACAACTCATCCAAATAACTCCCTCGCGTCCAGTTGGGCTTTGCGAGCCATGCTTTTTCCTTACAGTAAGACCCGAGACTTACTTATATTCGCTTGTCCTTTCGTTTGCGATTTTTTTATTTCTGAACGGGCATGGTTTTGTATAGGCAATCAATCCTACCTTATGTTTTATACGTTTTTCTGTCGTTTCGTAATGAAACGCTGGAACAACAGCGGCTTCTCTACGGTGAAGAAAAGAAAAGGAGATTAATCAAAGGATTAATCTCCTTTGCTGTACTATATACTCTTTGCTGTACTATATACTCTGCTTCTGTTCGCGGATTTGGCAAACTAACTTTAAACTCTCCAGCAAGAGGGCAGGAGGAATCACATCAGGGCACGCCCCTCTTCGCTTCAGTGGGCGTCGGTCACGTCAATAACCGGAGATGCGAATTAATTCGCCTGACGTTAGCCAATGGGAGCATTAGATAACCTTGGCGTAAAAACAGAAGGGACGTGATTTGCGGCGACAGTCTCCGTACCGTAAACGAGCGGTTTGCGGTGCTTTCTGGGACTTGTGGTTTTTCAAAGAGAGGCACTTCTTGGCCTGCCAAGATGCCGCTGGCTCGGGATTAGTCGGTTACGTGTCGCCTGCCCGGCTCTGCCTCGGCGGCCCGCGGGTATAGACATGGCGGGGGGTGCGAAGAAGCAGGTCCGCTTTGCCCGGCTGGAAGAAGATGGAGCGCCAGAAGCGGGAGCCCTCGGGGACGCCGCTGCGGAGAGAGCCGCCGTCGGAGAGTCGCCCCCGAAGGGACTACCCGGAAACTCGGCGCGGCTTGCCCTTCAGCCGGTTGTAAAGGTGGCAGATGGCAGCGGCCGAAGAAGCCGGGCAGGAGGTGGCCTTGGCGTGGGAAAGCAGCAGGCGGCGGCGGCGGCTTCCCGGCGGGCCCTGAAGTGGTGCATTTCGGCTGCTCTTTGCGCCGCTTTCCTGGGCCTGGTAAGAAGGCGAGAAAGTCAGGCAAGCGGGCGAGCCAGCCGGGCAGCGCTCAGGGTGACAGCCGGCTTCGTCCTTCGATGACCCGCTGCCCCGCGGGTTCCCTGCCCTTCTGGCTGGGCCCGCAGCTTCTTGGGAGGGAAAGAAACCCAGGGTGGGCGCTGCCCTCTCGCGCCCTTGAAAGAGCGGCAGTCGGCAGACACGCCACCCCAGACCGAGTGGGCTGCCCGGGGCTCTCTGTCTTCCTTAAGGAGAAAACATGGTCCTGCTGGACTATGAACAAATGCCTTGGTATTCAAGCCTAACATACAGGGAGTCCTCGAGGTACGACCACACTTGCGCCCAAAATTTATGTTGCTAAGTGAGAAATTTGTTAAGGGAGCTTTGCCTTGCCATTTTATGACTTTTCTTGCCACATTTGTTAAGAGAATCACTGCGTTGTTAAGTTAGTAACACAGTTGTTAAGTGAATCTGGCTTCCCCATTGACTTTGCTTGTCAGATGGTCACAAAAAGTGATAGGCGTGACTCCGGGACACTGCAACTGTCATAAATATGAGCCAGTTGCCAAGCATCTGAATTTTGCTGCAACGGACATAAGTGTGAAAAATGGTCATAAGTCATTTTTTTCAATGATGTAACTTCGAATGGTCACTGAACGAACTGTTGTAAGTTGAGGACTACCTGTACAATACACTCAGTATAATGCTGATGATCACAACCACTACATGACACTGAATCTTTACATCCCACTCTTGCACTGGAAATTTAAAATGGCATGCCTGGCAAGTCTTCTGGTTTCATTTTTGCAAGAATCATCTAGGTTGGGATGAGAGACAGTATCTGGCTCAAAAGCACTTTGTAAATGCTGTGGGCATCTTGAAGCTGGGTAGCCCTGACTTCGAACCAGCATTTTAGCTTCCATGCTAAAGAATAAATAAAATACTTCCTTTTGTTAATGAGTAGGTCACGGTCTTCATGATACCATTAGATGAGATTAACAAAAAGGCTTGGACTCAGATGCTGTAGATGGAGGAATGTTATTTGGCTCCTTTTTTTATTAGTGATACATGAAAATTGTAACAAACATGAATTTGCATATCAATAAAAGACAAAATAAAAGTCAGTTAACTGAAGCTTAGCTTAGGTCATAGGTTGGCAACCCGCGGCTCCGGAGCCACATGAGGCTCTTTCAGCCTTCTCCTGCGGCTCCCAGCCTCCTACGCCATTTGCAGAGAGAGAGAGAGAAACAGAGGCACTTGCGCTTCCCTTCTCTCTCTCTCTCTCTCTCTCTCTCCCTCCCTCCCTCCCTCCCTCCCTTTCTCTCTCACTCTCTCTCTGCGTGTGTAAAAAAGAGAGTGTCGGACAAACTGACAAGGTTATTGGGCGGGGCTCCTGGCTTTGCTACATCTTAGCAGGAAGCAGCAAAAAGCAGAAGCACTCTCTCTCTCTCTCTCTCTCTTTCTCTCTCACTCACTCACTCACTGAGTGGGGGAAGAGGACTGGCAGACCAAAGGCAGGAGAGAGCCAGCCAGCCCAATAAGAATGTGTGTCAGCTTGTCGGAGAACAGTGTGAAGCCAGCTTGCCAGGTGAGCAGAAGTTCGGAGAGGGGGGGAGAGAGGGAGGGAGATAAAGAGGGAGAGAGAGAGGGAGGGGGGAGAGAGAGAACTCATGCACAGCAGCCTCTATTTCTTTTTAATTAAACTCTTCAATCAAGCTCCCCCCCTCGCGTGCGCGCGCAAGTTTTACGGCTCCCAGTGTTTTCTTTTCTCTGGGAAACGGGTCCAAGTGGCTTTTTGAATGTTTAAGGTTGCCAACCCCTGGCTTAGGTAGACAAAAGTTCTTACAGTTCTTTTTGGAGTGTGGTGCTGGTGAATGACCATAATAAAATTTGATTAGTGATGGTAAATTTATTTTGGATAGGGCTTCATTGCCCATGGATGTTACAGGAATAATTCCTTATGGAGGTTTTGATCCATATAGACAAATTGGCCAGAGATCTGGAGTGCCTGGGTATTTGACACTTTGTGTATTTTCATATTGACACACCTTTCAAAAGACATCCTTGAAGCCTATTGTGTAGATCCCCTCCTGATACAATTTGATAGTTGATGGTCTGAGAAAGAAACCTCATAGAGCAGTCTAAGAATTTCTGAGAAATTTCTCTCATGAATGAAGGCAAATATATGTGTCTAGGATCCTGCAGAAATTTCTCTATTCTGGGAAATCTTCATGGGAGATTTCAGCTGGTATGGTGCAGAATTTGAGTGTGTGAGCAACCTGATGCATAAGCACACAAAATCCACTCCAATACAACTATTCTTGTAAGCGTAGATGCTTTTTCTAATAAGATATCAGCAGTTGCAACTTGGGCCTTATCCATGTGGTTTGCGTGATGAGTTCTTTCAACTTTTTCTGTGACACCTAAATAAAGTTATTATGGTCCCTAGTCAAGATAGACATGTGATATTCTAAAACAGAGCTTTTCAATCGGTGGTACATGTACCACCTGTGGTACATTGGCATCTGGCAGGTGGTATGCGGCCCTGCCCAGCCTAACCAAGTGTAGTGGAGGGAACGAGCCAAAGCGGCGCAGTGCAGGACTGGCCGTGAGAGAGTCCTCAGGAGCTTCAGGGTGGCTGGGGTGAGACAGAGGCTCCAGGATTGGCACTTCCACCTCACCCGGAAGAGAAAGGAGGATGGGGGGCAGAGGCTATAAAAGGAGGTAGTTTGGGCAGGAGAGGGAGAGGAAAAAGAAGATGCAGCCTTGGGAAGAGAAGTCAGCTGGAGCTGCACCAAAGGGAAAAGAAGGAGGAGGGGGGGGGAGAGAGAATAGAGGAGATCAAATAGGTTGGCCAGGAGCCGATCTACAACTTCTGTGGCAGCCATCCATGCCAGGCGCACACTCAGGTGGCAATGACAGGCAAGAAATGCAGCGGGGGAGGGGTTGCCCTTCAGGAGGAATGAAGAAAGGCAGCATCGGCTAGAGGTGAGGCACGGAGGGAGGGAGGGAGGAGATGGCAATGAGAAAGGGAGGTAGAGAGCAGGAAGGAAGAGTTGGAAAAAAAAGCCAGGAGAAAAGAAAAAAAATGAAGCTGTTTGAAATAGGCGAGAGGTAGCCGACTGCTCCGGCTACTCGAGAGATGTTTATTGGCAGAAGCAAAGTGCCGTTTCAGCAGTTCGGTTCTGGATCAGCTGAACAACAAACTGGAGAGTGGAAGGATTCTTAGGTGATTTTGTGACTTTGAAGTTCTGGGATTTGTCCAATGTGGGCTTTGTGTTCTTAAGGAGTGTTTGGCAATTTATATTGTGGCTGATGGCTGATGTCCCGTATTGGATTTTGGGTTCTAATTCTATTGCTCTGCTATTGTTAGCTGTAAGTTTTGCTGCAAGGGATTTTGAAATATTTTTGTCCTGAATGGATTTTGCCTATAGCATTAATTTACTTATGAATGGAGCCATTTGGGGAGGCTGTCTTAGCCGGCAGCAGGTTCCTTAACTTTCCTTTCTAGCCAATAGTTAATTCTTAAAGGGGAATGTGCCTTTTTAAGCTACTTCCCTCAGCGGCTTGTCTTTTCTGTCTCTGGAAGCTTTTCCTTGTTTGATAAATATATGGAAGAGGAAAAATATGGGGTGTGGTGTTTTCAAATTCTTCCTTCAGAAGGAAGGAGATGGAAATAAGAGGGAGGCAGGGAAGGAGGAAGGGAGGGAAACAGGAAGGAAGAGAGGAGGGAGGGAGATTGGAATGAAAGGGAGGGAGGGTCTGAAGAAAGTCCCGCCTTAGCACTTGGCCACAAGCAGCCCTGCCATTGACTTGCTTGTCAAAAGGTTGCAAAAGGGGACCACCTGACCCTGGGACACTGTGACCATCATAAATATAAATCAGTTGCCAAGCATCCAAATATAAATCACATGACCCAGGGGATACTGCAACGGTCATAAGTGTGAAAAATGGTTATAAGTCACTTCAGTGCCATTGTAACTTTGAACAGTCACTAAGCGAATTGTACTACCTGTACTTTATCACTTTTTTCCTTTTTTTTTTTTTGGTCTTCCAAGTTTTTGACACCTTGCTAGGTGACTGGTGGTACTCGAATATTGACATATCCTAAAAGTGATATAATCTGTAAAAGGTTGAAAAGCCCTGCTCTAAAAGAACAATGGGACAACCTGTTTGGTGTAGTAATTAAGGTATCAGGCTAGAAATCTGACTGTGACTGACTGTGAATTCTAGTCCCATTTGAGGCATAAAATCAGTTGAGTGATCTTGGGGCAGTCACCCTCTCTCAGCCCTAGGTAGGAGACAATGGCAAACAGTGGCAAACCACTTCTGGAAAATCTTGCCAAGGATACTGCAGAGACTTGTTTAGGCAGTTGCCAGGAGTCAAGATTGACTTAAAAACACCAAAAAGAAAAGAAACCCTAAGCAATATAAGTTGGAGGGAGCAACAAATGGAACTAGTTCTGCTTCTAGGCTTTCTTTTATAGGCTTCATAGAAACACTCTGTTGGTAATTGTGTTATTCTATGGTATCTGCACAGAAAAGTGAGGGTTGATGTAGTCCAGGGGTCAGCAACCTTAAACACTCAAAGAGCCACTTGGACCCATTTCCCAGATAAAAGAAAACACTGGGAGCCGTAAAACTTGCCCGTGCACGTGAGGGGGAGCTTGATTGAAGAGTTTAATTAAAAAGAAATAAAGGCTGCTGTGCATGTTCTCTCTCTCCCCTCTCCCTCCCTCTCTCTCTCCCCCTCTCTTTGTCTCCCTCCCCTTTCTCCCTCTCTCCGATCTGCTCACCTGGCAAGCTGGCTTCACACTGTTCTCTGACAAGCTGACACACATTCTTATTGGGCTGGCTGGCTCTCTCCTGCCCTTGGTCTGCCAGTCTTCTTCCCCCACTCAGTGAGTCAGTGAGTGAGAGATAGATAGATAGATAGATAGATAGATAGATAGATAGATAGATAGATAGCGCTTCTGCTTCCTGCTGAGATGCAGCAAAGGCAGGAGCCCCACCCAATAAGCTTGTCAGTTTGTCCGAGAATAGCGTGAGGCCATTCTCTTTTTTTACACATGTACACAGAGAGAGGGGGGGGAGAGAGAAGGGAAGCGCAAGTGCCTCTGTTTCTGTCTCTCTCTCTGCAAATGGTGGAGGAGGCTGGGAGCCGCAGGAGAAGGCTGAAAGAGCCACATGCAGCTCCCGAGCTGCGGGTTGCCGATCTGTGATGTAGTCCATTAACTTCAGTCAGCCTTATTTTCAAATAAGCATGCTGAATTGTTTGAACAATTTTGCAAAGCTTTATTAAGAACAGCTATTTTTTTATTTCCTATTGATTTTATTTCTTTCTAGGGAATGGCTATTGCTATTCTAGGACCTACATTTCAAGACTTGGCTGCAAATGTGAACAAAAATGTCAGTCAGATTTCATATATTTTCGTAGGCCGTTCATTGGGATACTTTGGTGGTTCTCTAATTGGTGGAATACTGTTTGACTGCATGAACTCCAAGTTTCTTTTGGGTAAGTGGAAAAAAATTGAATATGAATAATATAGATTGTTGTCCTTTTAGTAGAAGAGGTGTTGCATATCTATCCCTAAGAGAGTAATACTTGTGTTTACAGATATACTGTATTATACAATAATGAGAAATAGACAAAAGCAATATACAAAGTTGAAAATCCTTCTACTTAGTGAATCAGAAATGGGACAGTAATTGCATCAGCTCTTTTCTTTTAACCTCTTCCTGAAGTTTTCTAACTTCATCTACATGTGTGTCCATTACAGGGATGAACAAAAATATTACAGGGGACCTTGGAATCATGTAGTTCAGCTATCTGGAACAAACTCCAGCAGAGTAGATTCGGTCACCTCTTAAATTTATCATTACAAGCTCTTGGTTTTCTTGGTGTTTGTCTTCTCCATTTGCCCTAGTTGGTGCTCAGAATTTAATATTCTGATTGCTGTCTTACCAACCAATAAATCAGACTATTTTTACTCTGGCTTTTAGCTGTATTTAATCAAATGTCTACTGCATCCAATTTTCTGCAGTGGAAACCCTCAACAAAAACAGAATGAGTGCATCATTTGTAATATGCTGTATTCTTTGGAAAAGTAATCGGGACTGAATTCTTATAGTCTTAGGCCAGAGGTCCACAACCTTTTGGGCACCAGGGACCGGTTCCGTGAAGAGAGGTTTTTCTGCAGACTGGAGGGTGTGTGGTTTTGTGTGCTGCCTGCATCTCGCAGATGGGGCTTTGCTTGTTTGTGCTGACTGGTTGCTGACATGCTGCAGCCCGGTACTGGTCCACGGACCGGGGGTTGGGGACCCCTGTCTTAGACCAGTGACTTTAGGATGTCATTCAAAAGCAATTTATATCAAAATAAGGAGCAGAGAGAACTGAAATATTTTGATACTTTCTGTTCAGCAATCCCGTCTACTAAAAAAGTAAGTCATTCCCTTTTTAACATAGTCAAGGAAGTGCATTTCTATTGATTGCTTCCTTATTTGCATTAGTTATTTAGAACATTGTTTCAAGTTCTTTTTTTATCTCACTTACTCAAGTGTTCTCAATCCTTTTGCCTTGGTTTCAGAGTCACAATTCTTTATTAACAAATGGGTTTTAGGACTTTTAAACATATTACATATAAAGATGTATGACATAGAGCAGTGGTGGCGAACCTATGGCACTCAGAGCCCTCTCTGTGGGCACGCACGCCGTCGTCCCAGTCCTAGGCCTTCAGATGGGTTTTATAACATTTTTCGCTTTAGGCCTCCGCCGCCGTGTGCAAAAAAAAAAAAAGGTTCAATCAGTCAATTTCAACTTCTTGCGGGAAAAAAAAAGATATTGCAAAGTTGGAATTGATTGAACTTTTTAGTCCCACCCAGTCTGCCATTACCACTGCAGCCACGCCCACCCAATTGGCCACGCCCACTGGCACTTGACGATGCATAAGTGGGTTTTGGGTTGCAGTTTGGGCACTCAGTCTCTAAAAGATTCGCCATCACTGACATAGAGATACCACTGAACTGCCATGCAAGTTTAGTGGCATTGCTATATGAGACTGCCTTCCTAGTTTCTATGTAAGACTTCCTTTTGCAGTCTACAGACTTTCAGTTGTATTTGGGACTGGCTTTTTCAGAGCTCCATTTTGTGCACCATTCCTGAGTCAGGGAGCCTTGCTTACCTCCTATTTCAATTACTGTAGCAGACTGTACGTGGGACTGCCCTTGAAAAGCATTTGGAAGTGATAGCTAGTCTAAAACATGACAGGCTGGTCAAGGATGAGTATTTTCCATCGTACATGGGTGACCCCATTGCTTTGGATGTTCCATTGGTTGCCAGCTGGCTTCTGAATGCAGTTGAAGGTGCTTCTTGTCACCTTTAAAGTCTCTTGGCTCCAGACTCAGTTATCGGAGGGACCACCTTCTCCATCTTCATCTGCCCATCCAGTCAGATGAAATAAAGTAATTTCTGGCCAAAGAAAGACATCTGAAAGCTCCTAAGAAAAGGGGATTTGCAGTTGATGTTCTTATGCCTTGGATGTAGTCAGTACCTTCTCTCCTGGGTTTTGGAGAGCAGACAAAACCCGGCTTTTCCATGTAGCCCAGGAGGAAAGAATGTTATGAATTTGGATGTAGTGGTGGTCATGTGACTTCATATGCTTTCCTTCCTCTCTTTTTTAAATTCATTTGGGGTGGATTTATTTGTATAATTGTTGGAGGGGTTATTGTATGGAGTTTGTGATTGTTAGCCACTTGACGCTTCAGAAATGGACAGCATACAAATAAATAAACTCTTCAGAATTCTGCAGAAGTCAAGGTTTGGGGAAGGATGAGAAGCAATTTTAAACTGATTGAAGCAAATTGTTTTCTATGCTGCAGTATTTCTAAACCATTGAAGCAATGCTTTCTAACCTTTGAGCAAACTTCTGAAACCTAAATCCAAAATATACTATTAGGAAAAAAGCCCCATAGAGATCAGTAGCATTATTCCAAATTATAAATGCTGACGATCGCAGCCTAAAACATGACTACATTTGATATAAGACTGCTACATTAAATAAGCTACATTTCTCCATGATTTAGTAATAATTGTAAACACAAATCAAAATTATACTGGCTTTGAATTTACTGGATTTAAAATAAAACATGGGCAATTTTAATTCTTAAAATGTTCTATTGGAAGTTTTTAAATTATTTATATTTATAGGCTTATCTATGCTGGGTACAACAGTAGGCCTGTATGCTATTCCATGGTGTAAGAAAGCCATCTTGTTAACAACCGTGATGTCCGTCATTGGTTTTACAATGGGAATTCTGGATACAGGTAAAAAAAAAAAACTTACTATACGTATGTCTTTTTTTTTCCTTCCATCATGTTGAGATCATTCAGTAGAACTGTGTTACATTCCTTTATAATAAATTATGTATTCCTAATACATTGCTAAGTGTGTATCATGTGCATAAAATATTTGAACCCGCAAATTTCCTTACTTGACCAAAGGCCAAACTAAATTTCACCACTTGGTTATATTTTCCTTTTTCTGTTTGCATGGGGTGGTGATGGTAAAAAATCAGAGATTGAGAACTGTATGTACTTTAATCCTAAAACAGAGCTGAAGAGTCCTAAGATAGAGTTGAAGAAGCTTCTTGGATGAGAAGCGAAACGTTTTCAAAGAAAAACAAGAAAGTCCAGTTGCCTTGTGAAAAAAAAGCATCTTTGGGATAGTCCTAAGAAAGTTGATTTGTATATAGAAAGATTTCTTCATATAGATGTACATACAGTACTTTAAGTACTTCAGTCTGGCAATGGTTACAGAAGATCATTATTTTTGCTGAGGGGATCAAGAGAAATACTATAGAGACATGGAAAAGTGACTCAGACTAGGACTGAATGAGAGAGCAAGGGAGAAAACCAAAAGATTGTTTAAAAGAGTAAGACTAATAGATACCTTCATGCAGTTTTCTTAACAATAGCATGGAATTGGCTTGCCAAATAATGTGCAGCCCATAGTTCTCTGGTAGTCTAAGTATTAAGTTGGTCTGATCCTGTTAAGCCTCTAAGTGGGTATTAAATGAACAGAAGTATAGCATAGAAGTCATAGAAAGTAATAGTTCCACTTTAATCATACAACCTTTAGTTTGTGTATTGTGTCCAATTCTGAACACCATATTTAAGGTTTTAGAGAAACACATATATTTAGGGATAGTTTGAAGAAATTAAGAATGTTTATCCTTCAGAAGACTGAGGGAGAATATGATACTACTTTTCAAATACCGGAAGAGTAAAATAATTGGAAGATCAAGGTCTGTTTTCTAGCATTCTAGAGTGCAGGATATAGAAAACTGTATTAAAGTTACAACAAGAAAAATTCCAATTGAAGGTTGGAAATAATTTCTTGAACTGTAAAAGCAGTTTAAATGGCCACTTCCTCAGTTGGGCTTCATTGAAATATAACATACAGGAAAGTGTAGCCATAAGAAAACGTAATTTAAAGAAATAAAAAAATGAGCCCTTCTGTAAGAATAGAATATTAGATGAATGGCAGTGTTCTTGGAACTTATTTTATTACTTTTGGTTAGAATTTGTATTCTGCTTTTTTCTAGCAGTTTCCTCCTTCAGTTTTTCTCCACAGAAGTCCTGGAAACTAGGCTGGACTATGAAAGATTAACTAGTCCCAATTCATCCACTGAACTTCCATATCTGAGGATAAAGTTGAGTTTGGACGTCCCTAGTCTGGTACATCTTAATAATAGACAGCTTTGGCCTTTAGAGCAGAGGTCCTCAACCTTGGCAACTTTAAGCCTTGTGGACTTCAACTCCCAGAAGTCCTCAGCCAGCTCTAGAGATTCCAGTTCATATTACTCCTGTCCACATTAATTTGGCCTATTGGGAATGGAGTCCAACAACATCTGGAGGAGCACATGATTCCCTCTCCTCTGTTCACTTTGTGGTCATTTCACAAAGTTGAAAACGGGAATGAGCTGTAATGAAACAAAGAAACAAGACAGCCAGGGAGAAGACTGCTTTGGTGAAGACAAAATTGCAAAAGTACAGTACCTACCTTGAACAGATGCCAGTTGGAATAGGAAGGGAACGGCATGTGTTAGGTAAAGATGTCACGTAAGTTGATGAAACTTTTTAATGTGAAAATTTGACCCTGAATCTTTGTCTTTCAGGTGGGAATGTTCTGGCTTTGGACACGTGGCAAGCAGAAGCTGGTCCGCACATACAGGCCTTGCATTTCAGTTTTGCCCTTGGCGCTTTTGTAGCTCCCATCCTGGCGAAGATGGCACTGGGTGGTTCTGCTCTTGAATTGCAGATACATCAGGGTAGCAGTATTGATAACCAGTCAGCTGCGAATTCTCCTGGTGCTACGTTGTGGCCAAAGCTTCATTTGAACTGGAATTTTGTGTGGTCTTATGCTGTGATTGGCACTTACCTCTTACTTGTTGCATTGTTTTTCTTTACTTTATATTTGAGGAGCAGTTCTGTTCATGGTAGAACAAAACTTTCCATGCAGAAATACCAAATCGCAAAATATCACCATGCTCTCGTACTACTTCTTTCTGTGTTTTTTTTTTGGTATGTTGGAGCAGAGGTCACCTACGGCTCCTACATCTTTACTTATGCAAAAACCTATGCCTTTATGAAAGAAACGGAAGCAGCAGGGTTGAACGCTGTCTTTTGGGGAACCTTTGCAGCTTGCAGAGGATTGGCAATCTGCTTTGCTACCTGCTCTTATCCTGGATCTATGATCCTGATAAGTATCGTAGGCTCTACTGTGTCATCACTCTTCCTGGTCCTCTTCAATGTACACTCAGTTGCTCTGTGGGTTGGTTCTGCAGTCTATGGTGCCTCAATGGCTACTATCTTTCCCAGTGGCATTTCTTGGCTAGAGCAGTACACCACTGTTCAAGGGAAATCTGCAGCAATGTTTGTAATGGGTGCAGCTCTAGGAGAAATGTGTATTCCTGGGGCGGTTGGCTTCCTTCAAGGATATTTTCCCACTCTCCCAGTGCTCATGTACACTGCGTTGGGAGCAGCTGTCATGACAGCAGTACTGTTCCCTGTGATGTATAAATTAGCGACATCCTCCGATGATGCCAAATTGAAGGATGCTGGAGACAGGGAAGTTCAAGAAGCTTTATTGTCCAACACCTATCCTGAAGACGATGATGAGGATAGTGAAATCAGAGAATGGAATGAAGTGGACTTTGAAATAATTGAGATGAATGACACACTAAGGAACTCTGTCATAGAGACCTCTAAGAAGATCCAAGGAGAATTTACTACCACCATCTCCAGCCAGATTCCTTCAGAGAATTTGTCATTTAATTCTTCTCCTGTACTTGCTGTCAGATCCCCAAAACAGAAGAATTCAACTAAGAATGATTAAGCTGTCTTACTTTAGTGGGAAAAAATTTGAGGAGATCAGAATTTCAACCCTAGGATCATATATTATTTCAATATTGGTGGGAAATTTGCTGAATTCTAAGCAAGGCCTTTTTATTTTAAAGTATTTTAAAATATGAGGGAAGTGGTAATGGAACCCCTTTATGTAACCATGAGAGTGACTGAAAGACAAAATAGAATGTTTCCTAAATTTAATATTTTTTTCAGGAAAGTGAAAGCTATAATTTGAATAAACAGAACTTATGTGTTCTCCTCCAGCAGTCCCCAACTTTTCCAGCTTGGCGGACCAGTGGGGGTGGCAGGTGGAGAGAGGGGAGGGTTTTGTGTGTGTACCACTTCCACAAATGCAGCTTTGTGCATGCACGCACACGCTCACTTGCTGCTTGTGCGGCCTGGTTACCAACGGGCCACGACCTAGGCCCAGGTCACGGACTGGGGGTTGGGGAGTCCTACTCATTGTTGGCTTATAAAATGTTGTTTATAATCTGTGTACTGTACCTGAAAGGGTTGAAGAATAAGAATCTTCAATTCATCGATGTCATCTCTGGAAACAAGATAATCTGGAAAATCAATCCTTGAAGACCTCTGCATTTCTAACTCAACAGTTCCATGCGTTTAGATTGAATCCTAAATATATTCTATCCTATGTAACAAAAAGAATGATTTTTTTTTAAAAAAATTCATGACCACAGTCATGGCTAAATTAGCAAATACATATTTTAAAAATTTGCTCAGAAGCACTTTGTATAACGGAAATACTTGCTGAAAAGGATTTGAATTTATACTGATATAATAGTTATAGTAACCCTGTGGACTGAATAAACTGGAGGTTAAGATTGCTCATCGAGTTTAGCAATGATGAACTATAATCTCAGGTTATGCTTGCAAAGCAGAGAAAAGTCACCTGCAATCCCAAGAGGAATCCCATGGCTGCTTTGGGTTTTCTAAAATATGTGTTGTAGTCCATTGAAGACTTTAAGTCAGGGGTTCTCAACCTTGGCAACTTTAAGACTTGTGGACTTCAACTCCCAGAATTCCTCAGCCAGCAAAGCTGGCTGAGGAATTCTGGGAGTTGAAGTCCACAAGTCTTAAAGTTGCCAAGGTTGAGAACCCCTGCTTTAAGGGGTAAGGAAGGTGAATCTGCCTCAGAAAATCTGATCAATTTCAAAATGCAAACAGGATTGTTTTTCTCTACCTGCATTTTCAAGTACGGATCATAATTTAAAATAAAATGGTGTGTTTGTGGTCATCCCAGCTGCACTATAAAGTGACCTTATATTTAAATAGCATGATACTATGGTACTTGATACCTTTGTGTAACTTCTTGCATAATTTTAAAATTAAAAACTAAGAAATCGCCCCTCAGAGATGTTCTATTACGAATGTTATAGTATAAATCAGTAAAATCTGATGGTATCTTTAAAAAATTAACTTTCAGCAAATTGTTTAGATATAGTGCCTTCTAGATGTGTTTGACTGCAGTATTCATAATTCCTAATCAGCAGGATCTTTGTGTTGGACAAAGATTATAGGAATTTAGAACCATAACATTTAGACATAATCAAGCTGGGGAGGTTAATTGAAAAAGCGACTTTCTTAAAAATTAAATATTGTCTATGTGAAAAGAAAAATCAATGCTAATTATTTTTACAGTACCAGTACGAGAAAGCCTTATTGTGGCTAGCATTGGACAAATAATGTTGAAATTTTGATCATTCATTAAAAACTCTTGATCAAAATATATTCACTGATAATAGTTTAACTGCCAGAATTAGATGCTTGTAAGTGTAAAATGAACACCAGGTATGATTAAAATGCACTGTTAGTATTTCTAAACTACTGTAAATGGTGATTAAGTTGTGATGACGAGGATCATTTTAATGATTCTTATTCTTACCAGATAATTAACTACAACTACTACAGCAGCTTTTGTAGTGGGCTGACTGAAGTTACTGAATATTAATTTACACGTGGAATAGACATTTTGAGAGTTTGGAATCTGCCTTCTCTCTGTACACCAATAAACAACGACTGAAGTTATTCTGAGGGCAGATCTAAATGTGGGGAAAGGAGACCAAGGAAACCTGAGGGGGATGAGTGGGCGTTTTCTTACCTATTGTTGAATGTAACCCTTAATATCACTGGGGGAGATCATGTCTCCCAACAGTGTATGTATATTACATCTTTTTGGATGTGTGCATGTTGAAGTTAACAGTACAAAAAACTATGAATTACTTTGACTTGTACCTTTTGATACTTCGTTCTATTCTACAGTATGTTTTCCTTAACGTATTGCAATTATTGCTTGAATATGATTTTTTTTTCTTGTGTGTTCCCAATGTTACAATAATTTTGTAATAAAAATGAAATAGGGACTGTATTTACTGGGGAATTGGAAAATGTGATTTTTCTTGAATAATAATAATAGACTTGTTTATTAGGGAATTAAGTACAAATATTAGATTTTTCATTAGAAAGTGAAAAAAGATTCAGTTGTCTTTCAAAATAAGCTATCATAGCCAGGGAAAACCAGAAGATGAAAGCCTTGGGCAACATCAAAGATGTAATACTCAGTATAGACTTTAAATGTTTATTATGAAAGGATAATTATTTTATAAAGAACAACCAACAGGCAAGCTTTTATAAAACAGGAAAGAATTGGTATTAAAAGGACAAGAGAAATAAAATACATTAAAATGGGATTACTCGTGAGTAACCATGAAGATTATAGAGGCAAATGAGGGTGATAAGTAATAGAAAAATTGTAGTGATATTCTTTACAAATGTTATTCTAAAATGATAAATATTTGTAAAGGAAAAAGATATACAAGAACTAATTACAATAGATGATCTACAAGAGGCAAGCTGCCAAACAGGAAATTACTCACGTAATACTTATGGAACTGTAATTTTATAGTGTTCCAAAGTTTTAATATACTAACTACTCTATGTCTACTAATATTGATATGACATTGATATAGAGATTAGAATGCAGTGATGTAAAATGCATGTACTGTGATAAGCCTGCACTCCATCATAGCATCTTGCTGATGCTTGTTGCATACTTACAAATACCAAACAAAAACTGTTTGTAATTACTTTGTTGATAGAGATAGATTCTCACAGGAGTCACAGAAGGTGGAGTGGCAGGTGGGCTGGAGTCGATATCCACATGAAATGTGGAGCTTTTAAATGCTAATTGAAAGGATTTGGGGGAAAAGAAGCTTGGAGAGAAGCTGCAAGGGCAGCTGGTGGCTGGCAGCTTAAATGCCAAAATTGATTTTGCCCACATAGTAAGAGGGCCTGCTGAGAGACCCTTCTCCACAGGACATTTTCTGTCATGGCACATAGGGACAAAGTATAGGTAACACCCTGTTTCCTTGTGTTCCTATGGTTAAAAATATTTTAGCATGCTATTGGCCTTAGGTGGAATGTCTGGTCTACAAATATTGTCAATAAATACAAATATTTTTTTTTAATTCAGAAGACAACTATTTTTCTTTTATTGACTGTAGTAAGTTTTTTGATAGTGTAGGTCAGGAAGAGCAGTAAAGAGTCAGATCCTGCCCCTCTGCCTCTGTGGGCATGGCTGAAAGGTCTGCAGGCCAGGGAGCATGGCAACCATTGAATGGCACTGTGTTATCAACAAGGAAGCCACCAATAGGCCTGGATCACCTGCCCATCATTCTTAGCTCATGAGCTGCACAAATACAGGCAGTGGTCTATATATTTAATTTGTGGGCTGTAGTGTGCCAACCTTGTGTAGATCACACTAGCATGTGGAATGTATTAAAACTACTGGATGTACCAGTATACTTGAGTACGTTTCTGAGAAATCTTTACAATAAACAAGCTACTGTAAGAACAGAATTTGGGGGAAAGAATAGGATATTGAAGGATTGTTGGAGTGATGTAAATTCCTATTCCAAGATTCTACTAAATAGAAGAATTGCTTTAATAACCACTTTTTAATAGAATATTAGGAGAACTAAAAGAGCCATTAATGGAAGTAAAAATAGAAAATGTAATCTCAGGGCTAAATTTTAAGATAATGTATTATTTATATAAAATAAGCTGTATATTTTATAGACTTAAAATTGATGGTGAAGAATTGTTAGAATAGTGTTTTTCAACTGCAGCCATGTGTGGACTTCAACAGTTCTGTAGCAAGTAAGGCTGTAGAAGCTTTTTTATTTATTTAGGTTTAAAAATGGGTATGTGTTCGAGATAAATGATTAATTCTGGGGAGGGAAGGCAATAACAAAATTCAGACTATTTCATGGCAGATGAGAGTATTTCTGTGACAATAACAGATATTTTTCTTCCAATAGTCCTTTACAACAGTGAAAGCTGTATATAAAGACAGAACAACAGGGGAAAAAGAATCCATTTGATTTATAGCTTTCAAGATGGTTATTAAGTATACCATAAACTGCCAGAAGCAGCAAGCAGTAAGTCCTGGACCATTAAGCCTTGAGGCAATGATCAGCAAACAGAAACTCACATATTTTGGGCAAAAAGTACAAGTGAGTGATTAGGGTAGGAAAAAAGATCTATTTGACAAAATTGGAGGAAATAGGGAGAAATAACAGATAAGGTAAACAGACAATTTCAAAGAGATACATGAAGAACCTACAGCCAAGATACGGTGGCAGTGTTTCTTATAGCTGCTGAAGTGTTTGGCCTGACTTGATGGCACTGAACAATGACTAAAACAAAGGTAAATGATAAATGATAAAAGATAAATTTAGTATTAAGCTAAATACAGACAACTGATTGATTTAGAGAAATTGGCTTAGGAACCTAAAATGTAATCTAATTGAAAAGCAAATTTGGACATTTTCATTTAATATATGAATTGTAAAATTAGAAGAATGGTTTACATTGAATCAAATTAGAATTAGAAAAATTCTAAATCAGGCATGTCAAACTCACGACGTCACATGACGTATTGCGACTTTTCCCCCATTGCCGGCAATGGGGTGGGCGCAGTTTTGGCATGACACATCCAGCCCATGGGCCGGCAGTTTGACATGCCTGTTCTAGATGAATAGTTTTGTAGGAAAAGAGTATTTTTTTAAAATAGGAGCTGATGTAGAAAGATGTATAAAGATATATAAAACATTTATAGTTATTGAGTTTGAGGAGGAAATGCAAATGTTATATAAATTGACATTATGTGAAAGAATAATCATAGACTGATATATTGCACAAGATATAATTTCTGGCCAAGATCAAGAAGCTATAGCTGCACAATTCCATGTGTTTTGTCTGGTTGTAGCCAACTAGAAGGCCTTCAGATCCACAGGATATTTTTGCTGGAGGAAAACACTAATTTTTTTCCTGGTTTTCTGTTCAGTCCTTTTCATCTTTGTCTTGCAGAATTTGATAGATTTTGATAAATGAATATAAAAAATGGCTTTGGTTGCTATGATCCATGACCTTTGTAGGAACCAAGATAAAGGGAATGTATTCTCATAGGTCCTATTAAGATCTCTCTGACCACTGATAGTATTTTTTTTTGTTTTGGAAGTGCTTGAAAGTATTAGAGAATGAAGGCACTGATTAGCAATAGTTCTGCTTCTACCGAAGTGGGTAGTTTCAATTGGCGTTGTTGAATAATATGGAAATAAGCAATTTTTGTCATCATTTATATTGTGTTTTGCTTCTTCACAATGATATTAGGAAACCTCTGAGAAAGACTGCAAGTAATAATTGAGCAGTTGTGCACGATGAACAGAGGACAAAGCTTAGAAGCTAATTTCTATACTGATAGTAACAAATATTTATGGTTTGCTTGAAGCCTGGAGAAGTTTTAGTTGGTACAGTATAACTATGGTACTGAATGTGTTGACCATTGACCGTAGACCCCAAAAGGGAAAGCAATGTGTGCTTGCCTCCCTTTAGGAATTTCTTTCTAATAACATTCTTCTTTGCTACAACACTTATGAACTAAGCATGGATTGACTCCCGCAAGGGGAATGAATGTTTGTATCTGGGATTGCTTCACAGGACTCATGCTTTCTTCCTTGTTAACATTTAAATGTTAGTTGGGGCAAGGCACAATTGTTGGATTAAAGATACCATCAGATGGAGACCATGACCAGTTTTCATTGGTGTATCATTTCAAGCCGTTTTCTACTGGAGGCCTTGATAAAAGTGACTTGAGGCATTCATCACACCAGATATAACGCACTTTACACGCCGCAGCTTTTGGAACAATCTTGAAGCTGTAATTAGTCCATAATATGAAACTTGTCCACCTACTGTTAGGTCCACTTTAGCAGTCTGACAACTATGCTACATTTGCTGTACGGACTGCTGGTTTGGTTCTAAATCCAATTCAACATATTGGTCATTACTTTTAAAATTGCACAGTCACTCCAGGATCCCTTCTGGATTATCTTTCCTGACCAATTGCATACAATAAGCACCAAGTTCTAATATCATGAGCTGAGGACCCTCACATCCCCTTTCCTAAAAGCTAGATATTATCTATGGTTGCTCCCATAACTGAAATACATTGCTTCCTGGGGTATAGGGTGTCTCAATCCTCTTGGCCTTAAAACACTTAAAAGCTACTTATTTAATAAGACACTTAGGCTGTTTAGTTTGGGATGAACACTTTTAAAAAAATATTTCTATGGTTATGTTAAAGAGCAAAAAATATTCAGTTTTCAACATGTCGAAAATAAATGTTACTACTACTTTCCACTATCATATAAACACAAGTATTGATAGAATTCTATGGTGCAGCTCATGAGTTTTTATATTCACTGTAGTTGCTTGAATCATCTGGCTATTTCTACACCATTTTTTCCTCCAAAGATCGGTAAGCTATGGCGTTTGCCAGCTCATATATTTTTAAGGGCAATATTCTTTCAGGAAATTCCTCAGTAAAATTCAGATCATCAAAATACTCTTTATTTTATATATTCATTATAGGCTTTTTGAATAGCAACACTGAGCAATTTCTACTCATTAAAGATAATTCTGATTCACTCACTTTAAGTAAGATTGTTTAAAAAATTCCAGTTCAACTACAATGAGATTTAAAAATGCACATTTATTTGATTTTATTAAATTTACTATGGTTGCAATAATTTTTAAAAACAAAATGATTTCCAATTAAAAAATGTATTGTGACCACATAATTTCATTTTATACAGTTGTACAAATATTCTAAATACACATTTTCTTATGATGGCAAATAAATTTTAACTGTACAGTACATAATGAAATATTTAAGCATATTTAGAAGCAATAGAAACGTCTATACAAAAGCAAAAATGGATTTTTTTTATTTAAAGTATTGCAACAGTCCCACAGTTTTATAACAAAAATGTCTTTGCACAGTTCCTCACAATGCCCCCATTAATAGCCAAAGCAAGACAGTGATTTTAGAAAATGTTTCAAAAATGCTACACTTACTACTGTTTGCAGTTTCATCAAAACAACAAATCTACTTGGAATCAAGCAAAATGAAGAAATATCCCAATCAACTTTAAAATTGTATAAAATCCATTGCACATTATTTTAGTCAGTTATTTGAAAAGTAAAAAAGTGTATTTACAAAATATTTTGCAGTCAAAATTTAAAGTTGATGAGATATCAGTAACACACATCCTGATAGTTCAATAAAACACAATAGCAGTTTCCCAAAGATTTTCAGTATTACTACAGAAATCCACAGGGAAATATTTTTTTTTATTCTGAAATGGGTTTACAAGATGATAACACAGTTATTTCAACATTTGTATTATAAAACAATGTTAAAAAGGCAAAAGAATGGCATCATTAAAAATGAATTATTAACAGATTACCAAATGTATTTTTAATTTACTTAGAACAAACATTCATTATTTTTAGAACAAGTCAACAATGTATGAAAATCCTGGACAAGATGAAATTGAAGGACCATGCATGACAGTTTTAGAATGGTAAACATTGAAAACAAAAATAGCACCTGGAATCCTGTGACATATGCAATCTAAAACTGATCAAGTAGTTGACGAAGATAAGGTGCCTTAGATAGTTCTCGGCTCACTCTGGAGACTTTGAAAAGCACCGGACAGTTCAATGAAACACATGGTATCTGTCGATCAAAGCAACTTGTACAATTCTTGCATATCTAGAGGAATATATAATCAATTAGTGCCAAATACACTCAAATGGGAAAAAATACATAATTAGCATTCAAACTAATTATGCACAAGACCAGACAGAAAAGAAGACATTTAAATTTTCTCAGCCTTTTAGAAAATAAATAAATTAAAAAATAATATTAAAATAAATAAAAGGAGGCTGGGAAAACTAAGATGGCCATTGGCTCAGAAACATCTCAAATGGTCATAAAGCAGGTCAAACAGTAATGTGGCCATCAAAAAATAAAGAAAACATGTCAAAAATGCTGATAGTTCATCAAATTGTACAATTTTTCAAGATTCTAGTTCTTGATTTTGGAAAACAGCTTGTAAGTATTGCATGCCCTGGGATAGGGGCGACTACACTGTCTACTGCTGCTCTAAGAATTGACACAAGGTGATTCTGATTTCATGCAAGATTTCCACCAAATCCTTACCAACTCATTTCAAGTCTATGGTCTTCCACAGACCCTGAAGATCTGTGGACCCTGAAAATCAGAACGAAATATGGTGTTGAAGACCGCTATGGATGCATAATGGTAAATGGCACATATGGTCCATTGGATGAATGGCATTACTTTAAATATTAAAACCAAATTTATACTGGACTCAATCATTCAGTAAGTCTTTAATATCCAAAATACTGACATAAGTTTCTTTACTGAAAAATAGTGTATGCCTAAAATGCTTGTCAGTATCCAGAGGACTATGAAGTGATCCAACCTTACTGAAGAACTGAAACCTTTTTATATGCTAAAAGATAAAGTCTCCCTGAGCCAAATTGTAATGATTAATGACATTAATATATTACAGGTAGTCCTTGCTTTAGAGCACAATTGAATCCAACATTTCCATTGCTAAGCAAGGCAGTTGTTAAGTGACTTTTGCTCCCTTTTATAATCTTTTTGCCATAGCTGTTAAGCGAATTACTGCAATTAAGTGAATCATGTAGTCATTAAGTGAATCTGGCCTCCTCCATTGGCTGTCAGAAGCTGGCTGGGAAGGTTACAAATAGTGATCACATGACCCTGAGAGAGTGCAACCGTCATAAGTATATGCCAATTGCCAAGTGCCACAGTGTCATGCGACTCTGGGGTTGCTGCAATGGTTGTAAGTATGAAAACCAGTCATAAATCACTTTTTTCATTGCTGTTGTAACTTTTAACAGTCATTAAACTAATGGTTGTAAGTTGAAGGCTACCTGTAATGTTGTCGTGGCAACTATTGTCTGGGATTTTTTTTAATCCAGTCTAACTCTCAGCCTTGAAGCCTCTATGCAATTGCACAGAATGTTGCAATAAGAGAAAGAATTGGGAAATATGGAATGGAAAAAAATCTGCCACTGTTTTCCTTTGGAGTGACATATTATAATCTACCACTCTGGACCTAATTACAGCATAACCAGGAGCAGTGTACTAGGGTACATCCACTAGAGTACATTCTGCATGCTCTCATAATTGGTACAGAACAATAGAGATGGGAAAGATATATGCAAAACACATGTTTCTGAAAAATATTATTTTTAAAAAGTATTCAGTATTGTGTAAGTTGGATATTTTGAAGTTTGTATTAATGAAAAATGCACAGGATGATTATGGATTTCCTTCCAGGTTTTTTTTAAATCATAGGAAACTAGCTTTTAGTTAAAATTCTTCTAAGCCTCCCCCCCTTAGAGCAAAAATACAAAAATCTGACAGAATAGAGTAAGGAATGCATACAACACTGATATAGACCACATTTAGACTGATCAGCACATCACAACTTCTGACCGAATGTAAAATGCCTCTTGCTTGTTTAAATGCTCTCTGGATAGAAATTAAGAGCAAATAAAAAGAAAAAAAGCAGTCTCTATAATAAAGAGCCATGAAGAGCACAATTCTCATAATCCTATACAATCAGTGTCCTTGGGCAGGTGAGGTTTGACATCGTCATAAAAATGCCATGCTTTTCGTATCCATCAGACATTGAAACACAATTACATAATATCATCATTTGAGTGATAACATAATTTTACATGTTGACCCTTGCAGATATTACAGTACAAGTCAGAAAAATGGGAAATGTTAAAAAAATATCCCCCAAATTCTGAGTAAAGTCACTAAACAAAGCTCCCAAAGTATGCATAAAGTTATTTTTTTTGTTCTTACTCTCTTAGAAAGCATTTAAAATGTTTTTAAGCGTTCCAGCCTCCCTACTACATGCATTAAGAAAACTGTATCTAATAATTATAATTAACATGTAACAGCTTATCTGCTCAATCTTTCAGAACTCCTTTTGTAAAAATTCGTAAATTATTTGTTTCAAGTAATGTGTCCCAGTTACTAAAAGCTAAACAGACTATTGTTCTCTTCCAGTTTTATTCCCACCTTGGTTATTTGTTCATGTTTACGCTCCAACTCTCTGATTTCCTGATTTAGCATTACAATAACACGCTGCGGTTGGCTCCTACATTTATTGCAGATTCCATGCTGAGTCAATTCATCACATACAGGGCAATGTAGAGTGGTAAAATATTGGGAAATTGTCCCTTTTCGACATTCTTGCTCAGTGCGAGACATTGTGGACACTTTCTGGATCTATATGGCACAATAAACAAAGCAAAATATATTTAGTAGGTTACATATGTTTTCCCTCTATCAGTATCACTTTATCTTCGTTTATATTTTCCTCAGTATGTCTTGTCATTCCACATTCCTTAATATAACGTATATAAGTTTATCACTCTGCAACTTAATGCATTAGAATAGTGGGAGAATGCTGTTCAGTTTCGCTCTTCTGCTAGAATTTAAGGCTTGTTTGGAACCAGGGAGGACGCTTAAAAGGGTATGCACTTTGTGAACCTGTCTCAGACAGTACTGTTAGGTTTGTTCTGATACTTTTTACCTACATGATTTCTTTGTACTTTAGTATATTATTATATACTCAGTAGTTGTAACATACAAATACATAATGCTCCTTCTTGGACTAAAAAATGAAGTGCACAAGCAGTGGTTAAAAGTTGTTTTTTTAAAGTTGGCAGTTGTACATTGTAGTAGCTTGTTGAACAATCTGGTGCAGTTCTGGTTTCATAGTCCCTGTTATCTGTGTCTTCAAAGAGCCAGAGAAATAATATTTCAAAAATTTATTGTGATGGAAACTATGAGGATGGCGATGTTCTCTAAAAAGTCCATCGTTTCGTTAACACAACAAAGCAGCTGCTGGAAATTTCATGCTTCTTTAATACAGCTAGCGTTGAACAATTCAATGCCAACTGTATTGAAAAAAATTCTTTAAAAAATTATCCGTTGACATCTGAAGTGGTAAAAGAGGAAGTAAAGAAGTTGAATAATTCAGCTCAAATCTTGTCACTCCTAAATGCTGAATTCAATCTGAAACCCAGGTAATTTGATACATTTTAAAATCGGTATATTGAAAATATACCTATTGTTTTCACTTCCACTGTTACAATCATGCATTATATTTACTACTTCACTTACCCTTGGTAATTCATTATACCAACTGAAAACATCTATGCCAATGAGAGATAAGATCCTAGCCAGGGGAGGAAGAATCTGCTTGGTTATATAGTAGGTTGCATTCAGTCTCAGATTTGGGTCTTGCAAAACATCAATGGGCCGCCTAACCAACTGGATGAGAGGCAATCCCGGCATGCCATAAACAATAACATACGGAACTCTTTCACCGACACGTGGTTCAGACCGTCGGTCATAAGTAAGCATCTTTCTGTGGGGAGATACAACATGAGATTTCAAAATCTATTTGCTGCACGTGGAAGTGACAGAAACCCCAAAATTCAAAGAAACTTTAACGCACAAATTTTATATTTTTATATTTATTTTTAAATTTATTTCTTGCAGTTCCTTTACGTAGGCTCTGCCAATTATGACTACGCAAAATATACAAATGAAAGAACCATAAATTAAAACTAAGATAAGAAAACTAAGCTGCAAGAGCCACTCTGATCTAGGAGTTAATGCCCAGGAGACTGTGAGTTCTAGTCCAACCTTAGGCATAAAAGCTGGCTGAGTGACTTTAGACCAGTCATTCTCTGTCAGCCCAACCCACATTAAAGGGTGGTGGTTGTGGGAAAAATAGGAAGCTGAAGGAGTATTCGGTATGTTCGCCATCTTGAATTATTTATAAAAATACAGCTACTCCTCGACTTACGACCACAATTGAGCCCCAAATTTCTGTTGCTAAGTGAGATAGGTGTTAAGAGAATTTTGCCCCATTTTACGACTTTTCTTGCCACAGTTGTTAAATGAATCACTGTGGTTGTTAAGTTAGTAACACGGCTGTTGAGCGAACCTGGCTTCCCCACTGACTTTGCTTGTCAGAAGTTTGCAAACACAATCCTGGGACACGGCAACTGTCACAGAGGCCAATTGCCAAATGTCTGAATTTTGATTACATGACCATGGAGATGTTGCAATGGTTGTTAAGAGTGAAAAATTGTCTTAAGTCACTTTTGTCATGGCAACTTTGAATGGTCACTAAGCGAACTGTTCTAAGTTGAGGACTGCCTGTATTGAAGGTCATAAACAACTAAAATACATACATATATACATAGAATTTAGACCCGGCTGATGCTAAAAATGTGAATCTACACCCCCCCCCCCGCTTTTTATACCTTAATAAAATGAAACCTTTCAGTATTCCTGGAAGATATCCTAGTATTTCTTCCTACTCACCCTTATGTGATTTAATATCAAATGAAATATTAACATCCTATTACTTATTGTCACTACCTTGTGATCTCCAGAGCTGGAACACAAGCACCAGGTCTGTATGCAGAACTTCCTCGGTACTCCTTTGCAAAGATGAAGTCTTGCATGCTAGCCTTCCCTTCTAATAATTTCATGCATTGATTTTGCACATATTGCTTGATATGACTTATATCACGTGTTTCAAATAGTAGCTTAATGGAACGCTCAAGTATCTGGAAAAGAAAAAGAAAGCCTGTTTTCAGTTCTCCCTTCAAAGCTCATTTAAAGATACTTGAAATGATGGTGGCATTTTGCAACATTACCGCACTTGTATATCATCTGACAATTAAAATGCTCTGGACAATTTACAAGGAAGTCATCCCTCCTTTCACAATTGGTACTTTAGTCAACCAAAGAACGAACCCTCTAACAAAAATGGATACTTCATGTCTATTTTACCTTGGAAACAGCAGGACAAGCATCTCTTCTGACAGTTTCTATGCCTTTTGCATCAAATACTGGATCTTTCTGATCCAACGTTTCATACATATAACCAACATATCTCTTTTTGGTTTGCAATATACATGGCAAATAAACCTATAATAGGGAAACAAATATTAATTTGTATCAAAAGCGCAAATGTTTCTAAAACTATACATCTTTCATAAAAAAGCTTAGATGTAATTTTCCAACAAAGCATTTAATTTAGACTCTGAGTGATAATGTCCATATGTGACAGGCTTAGAATTCCATTTGCAAAAATTAGTTGCTGTAGTAACTGGAAGACTGCCCTCTGTGCCATACTATTGGGCTGGGCCAGGCCTGGCTTCACATAGTCCGAAGGAGCTTCCTAGTGTGTGTTTCATAGCTCTGAAGCTATGGAAAGCACCAGAGTTGTGCTGCACCAGAAAGTCTCTTTGTGCAGTGTGAAGCCCAATCCCAGCCCCAATTGCTCATGCCACTTAGCCCTCCAAGACTTTTGTCCTCCAGCATTCTGCTGCAGCAGCTGCTCCTTGCCATCGATTTGCTCCTACAAGACATGCCCATTCTGGCCCTTCACGGGGCTATCTTCCTCAGATCTCATGAAGAAATTGCCACGTGCAATCTTGAAAAGAAAGTTTCATGAGACCAGCAGCTGCCTTACGAAAAATGAGGCTGAGCATGTTTGGCCATCGCGGGAGCAAGAGGGCAAAGGTCAGCTAGGGCAGCAGGGGCCATGGAACGCAGGGAGCCAAAAGGCTATAGATCAGTGGTTCTCAACCTTTCTAATGCCACGACCCCATAATACAGTTCCCCATGTTGTGGTGACCCCCAACCACTTATACATCACCAGGTGCCAGGGGCGTGGCCAAAGAAAAGGGGGGAAAAATGGAGGACAGCCTTGTTTGGCGACCCCCGTGAAATGGTCATTCGACCCCAAATGGGGTCCCGACCCACAGGCTGAGAACCACTGCTATAGATGGAAGGGAGAGAGGATGGTGGGGGGAGTTCAAGCATCCTTTCAGTCATAAGTGAGGGCAGGCTACCAAGTGCCTGAATTTTGATCAGATGGCTGTGGGGACACTTCAATGGCCATAACTTCAGGCACCAATTTAAAGCCCTTCAAATGATTGCTGAACAAATGGTTGTATTTCAAGGTCTACCTCTGGAAGTCAATTTGGGCTAATGAGTGTGATGAAATACCTCTTTCACATGATTTGAACATGTGAAAAACTCCTAATTTAGTCTAATAAATATAAGCACAATAAAATTATTATAAAATTAAAGTGCTTTGAAATATTGCATGAGAAAATTAATAGTAAAACTATTGTTGAGTGCAAAAATACCTTTTCAAACTTGTCTTACCTTTTCGAACTTCAATTTTACTGGTTTGGGATTGGTAGCTGTTACTGCTTCAGCAATTTCTTGACCAATTTTAAATGATTGTTCCTTAGTAGCTCCTTTCAGTAGTACAAACATGCTAAAACAAGAGAATTGGCTATTTAATTTTCCCTCAGAGTTGTGTAAGCAGCACAGTAAGAGTTTATAACATGGCAAACGGCATACAGGCACATTTGCACAAATTAGCGTCCTGGATATCCAGACTGTTTCTGCTTACTTTAATACTTTATTTCTAATTCTGCCTTTTCCTGGAGAAGAAATTCTGCCAACTTCCTATTCTACTGTTTGAACTATATTCTTATACAGATTCAAAAGTTCTTATATGAACCTGTCTGACATGATTAAGAGAACAAAAAACAACTAAACACAATACTGGCTGGCAAGCCTCGTCAACAAAAAACAGTCTTAATTACCTGTCTGTGTCCCCATATACAACCCGTGCTCCCCATTTCTTTGTATCATTCACTAATTTTATTGCACGTTCCAAGGTCTCTCTGGCTTTGTGCACAATACTATCAGCAATCTGGAGATTTAAAAGACATATTACAAAAATCTTAGAATACAGTATTTTCTTTCGCCTAATCATGCATTTTTCATTCATTTACAATACTCTTACTACTGTTTATAAAATTATATGATTTGTTCTATACATCCTGTAAAATCTTTATAGCAGAGTAAAAATAAAGATGGATGATTAAACAAATCTGCTAAGATACATTCAAATTAGCCTTCTGATCATTACATTCAAAAGACATTAGCAAAATATCTGTACTTATTTCTTGGAGCCAGAAACTACACAGATAAGAGTCTCCTTCCCTTACTTCCATCAATTGACACTCCTTGGATTCATGTGTTTAACAATGCTGCCCAAGCAGTTTTAATTGCTCTTTTGAGGAAAAAGTGAAAAATCCTCTCCTATGTCACAAATACCCCAAGGGTGACAATGACATTTTCATAACACCTCTGCTGCAGATCTCAATGGCTGGAGAAATTTATAACAGGAGTTTAGATGTCTTTTATCAATTTCTAATTTACTTTAAAGAATAACAGAATAACAGAGTTAGAAGGGTTCTTAAAGGTCTACTAATCCAAAGTCTTGCTTAAGCAGAGCCTATACTTTTCCAGACAAATGGCTGTACAATTTCTTCTTAAAAATATGCAGTATGGGAGCACCCACAAGTTTTGAAGGCAAGTCATTCCACTGATTAATTGTTCTAACTATCAGGAAATTTCTCCTTAGTTCTAGGTTGATTCTCTCCTTGATTAGTTTCCATCCATTCTTTCTTGTACTGCCTGCAGATGTTTTGGAAAATAGGCTGACCCCCCTCTTCTTTGTGGCAGCCCTTAGATATTGGAACACTGCTATCATGTCACCCCTAATCGTTCTTTTTATTAAACTAGACATATGCGATTCTTGCAACCATTCTTATGTTTTAGCTTCCACTCGCTTGATCATTTTTGTTGCTCTTCTCTGCACTCTTTCTAGAGTCTCAACATCTTTTTTATATCATGGCGACCAAAACTAGATGCAATATTCCAAGTGTGGTCTTACCAAGGCCTGTGGTACTAGCACTTGACGTGATGTTGATGCTATCCCTCTGTTAATGCAGCCTAGGATTGAATTGGCTTTTTTGGCAGTTGCAGCACACTGCTGGCTCATATTTAAATGATTGCACACTAGGACTACAAAACCCTCTCACAATTACTACTATTGAGCCAGGTATCACCTATACCAGTGGTGGTGAACCTATGGCACGCGTGCCAGAGGCGGCACTCAGAGCCCTCTCTGTGGGCATGCACACCGTCGCCCCAGCCCCGCCTCCCCCATCCTCACCAGCAGCTCCCTCGGAGGAGAGTCAGCCCCGGTTACGGCCCACACGGAGCAGCACAGCCAAGCACATGGCAGCAAGGACAAGACTCCACCCTCGCGCCCCACTGCATGTAGATGTTGCGGGGTGCAGGCGGAAGGAATGGCCGGCATGACGCTGCTGGGCCACCTGGATGATCTGCTATGGCAGGCTGTGGAGGCACTGGGTGGTCCTGAGGGTGGGTGGGGCGGGGGTGTAGCGGGGCAGGGCGGGGGGGCAGTTTTGGGGCACTTGGTCTCTAAAAGGTTCCCCATCACTGACCTATTCTATATGTGCATTTGGTTTTGTGCAGTTTTGTGCAGAAAAGAGCAACAAAGATGATAAGGGGTCTAGAGACTAACCTATATGATGAACACTTGTGGGAACTAGGGATGTCTAGTCTAATGAAGAGAAGAATTGGGATGACATAATAGCAGTTTTCCAATATTTGAGAGAAGAGTTTTACAACTTAGAATTAAGGAAAGATTTTTCTGACAGTTAGAACAATTAATTGGTAGAACAGCTTGCCTCCGGAAACTATGGGTGCTCCAGCACTGGAGGTTTTAAAAAAGAGATTGGATAGCCATTTGTCTGAATGGTAAAGGGTATAGGGACTCCTACGTGAGCAAGGGGTTGGTCTAGAAGACCTCCAATCCGCTTCCAGCCCTGTTATCCTATGTTCTATGTATTCTTCAGTATTATCTGAACTAAATCAGCATTCATGTACTACAGTTAGTAAACCAAACCATTTTTCTTCTAATGTGTTAGGCTAAATTTTGTGTCCCTTCAATCCAGTTTTTGGTTCTTCATGCTGCCTAGACAAGTCCCTGGAGTTTGCTTAGCAGGGTTTTTTGGAAGTCTTTGCCTTTTCCCAGGATTACTCTTTTCCTAGGGCTGGTGATTGGCTCAAGGTCACCTTCTGGCTTCATGCAGAAGTAGAACTGATAGGTTTCCAATGCCTTAAGCACTATATCAATACGAGCCTCCGTTATTGTTAATAAGTTAATATTTTGTTTTCAATTACTTACTTCACTACATGGCATCCTTCCAGAAAAGTTAGCAGCAGTATAACCAAAAGTGACGTTTGCTATAAGTTTAAGGCCAAGCTGACGTGCCTCAAGCATTCGAGTGATAGTTTTGTCAAGTTTGTAAGCTTTCATTGATTGCTTCACCATTATTCTAGTCTTCAAAATTTCTTCCAGCATTCTTGGCAGTACACCCTTTCTTACAGAAGGCTATCACAAAACAAAAACAATAATTGAAGGGTTGATAGTAATAGCACTATTAATCCTCATGTAAATACTTAGTGATATATTGAGGCAAACTGAAGTAAATCCTGACTGATATTAGTAGCAGTGTGGCCATATTTTGCCCAATAATCATGTAGTGATCTCTTCACACGGAGTACCATGTGAAGAGGATTATTGGCTGGAGGATAAGCAAATTGGTGCAGAATTGTTATTCAGGTGAACGTTTGTCTTTTTATTCTGCTACATAAATCTAGGAATAACTTTAGAAAGTAGCATGATTGATAAGATTGTGTAGTGACAAGAAGGGGGAAAAGGTGATCCAGAGCATATCTAGGGATACATATAGCACCAGTCAGTACCCTTTTAAATCAAATTTCTTAAAGTTTCTTTAAAAAGTTGCTAGTAAATAATCCAAAAGTGCTCCCATGCTCTCTGAATCATAATTTTAACGTATTTATTTGCACTTAAGAACTTTTTTTTAAATATCCAAGATAGGGCAATTCATCTTATTACATAAACATATTATCAATCTGATGTTTAAAAACACACTGGATCACTAATATGTGTCCCCAAATGTCTCTTGACAGCCTTCATAGTTTCCGCTCAAATTTTCTGACTTATTTATTTATATATATAATGGACCACAGCTTCTCTCCATCTTCTTTCTTTAAGATGGCTTAGGACTCCTTATGAGTAGGGCAGCTGTGGAAATGATGTGTTATTTTTAGTTCTTTCTTTGGGGTAGGGATGTGTTACTTGCAATTCTGCATCAATATGGGTGAATAAGCTAATATCTGAGTATTAAATTTTTCCTTGTTGTGAAATGAGTTCTTTTTTGTGCCTCTGGAGTTGAATTTTGTAGTTGGCTTTTGGGAGTTCAAATACAATGTCCACTTTCTACTCAATTTATCTGGTCAACTTGCCTTTTGAGAATACGATAGCCTCATATGACAGTCTTAAACTGTCCTTTCATTTCATTAAAGCTCTCCTCTGTTAATTCTCCTGTCTGTTAATTCTTACTTTTCTTAGGGGAAGGAAAAGATTAACTTGTGGTTAAAAATAGGATAGGGATCCAATAAAGTCAAAGCAGGAGAATTTTGTCTTATTTCTTTTTCCATTCTCTATCCAATTTCTGATTAAAACTGCATTTCTTACTTTAAATTTTAAAAAAATTCTATGAATCAGGTGAGAATCAGAATCAGAGAGAATCTTCTCCCTTGTTTTTCTTCCTAAGGGATGAATCTCTTCTTTGGGTGTCACATCATTCTGAAGCCAAGCAAACCTGGGTGCCCTCACAGACAATGCGGCTCATCACACTTTTGAACCACTAGTTGCTGAAAGGACTAATTTTTTTAGTTAATGTCAATACTGTTTTGCAATACCTATTATTTTCCTTAAAATTCTATATCTATTAGAGTATGAAATTGAATTTATTTACACTTAAAGACAGAATATAAACAAAAAGTAACTTTTATAAACACAACGTTATTGTGCTAAAAAAAAAAATTAAGTACCTTAACAAAAGCTATTCCACTGGGTGAAATTGTGATATCATGTCGAAGCTGGTACAACAGATCAGGAGATACTTTCAGAGATGTGCATCCAAATTTAAATTCATCATTTCTAAAATATAAGGAAAAATGAATTGTTCTAAACCATTCATTTTTTTCAGTCTCTCTCTCATGATCCAGCTTTTCCTGCTTGCAACCTCTACATTCATTCACTCACTTATTTGCTATTATTTTCTCCTTATCTATATTACAATCTTTTTTAAATCTGTTACAGTTAAATATGAATACATTTTTGCTCCTCTTTTCAATTGAATAAAAATACCAAACTTCTTACAACAGACTAAAACTGACATGTCAAACACAAGGCCCACAGGCCAGATTCAGCCCGTGATGGGCCCAGGTCTGGCCCATAGGGCTGCCATGGAGACAGCAAGGGACTGGCCGCCAACCCCTTGCACCCCTAAGCCTAGCCGGGTGCCCCCCAGTGTGCGCACAGGTGTCTGTCAGCAATCGCAGCTCACTGACCCCTTGGCTGGCACACTCTGCAGTTGTGCAGCTCATGCAGCGCAGGTGGGTCCGAGCACTGCGACTGCTGGGCTGGCCCTCCAAATAGCAAGCGGAGGCAGAGGCATGGGGGGAGGCACGCAATCCAGCCTGCTGAACATGCTGGGTGGCCGCCTGCCCCATCCCAGCCATGGTGGCCATGGACAAACAAAGAGACGGTAGGGCTGTGGCCATGTGTGCTCAGTCTCATCGTCCAACCTTGTCCTCCACCGAGCCTGCCACCCACCACCATCCCCCGATGGCTCCAGCAAACAGGTGGAGAAACCCCATCCCTAAGAGGCAGTCGGGACTTCCCTCTCCACTCCAAGGCTTCTCTGGTTGATCATACCCCAGCGCCCCCCCGGTCCCGCCCCCACCCTCTGCCAGAGACCCTAGGATCCCCTCCAGTTCCACCCGGGCCTCAGACATCAAACTGGCCAAGCTCACCTAGTCAGCAGTGACCACCCAGTCACACCCCCACGAGGGCAGTCACAATGCTCATGTGGCCCTCAATGAAATCAAGTTTGACACCCCTGGACTAAAACAACAATATCCATAACAATACCATTACAAAATAAAGTCAACAGATCATAAAAGCTGGTTTATTAATTATACATTTGGGAAATAGGATGTTTTTAATCCATCAGCAACAGAACAAAGAGTTGCACTCATAAATTTCTCTTGTGGAAAATACCAGTTTCTATTCTGTTGCTGAAATCTCACTTGTTTCACTTATGTCTCTCAATAAATTTAGACAATTAATCTTTTTTAGATCAAAAGAAAAATACTTTGTAATCTTCATTTTTTATGTCATGCAATAATTATAATTTATTGTTAGGAGTTATGTTGGATATCTTCTCAGCCTATTTATATAAGTCCTGTCATAAATTAATACAATTAACAAAATATGATAGATTTGAATCTGCACAATCACCACAGTGTTTTCTTTTTGTGTAAGCAAATGCTCTCTCCAGATTGCCAATTTTAAAATTTGCAAATATACAGATTGTCACTGATTTACAATCACAATTGGGACTGGAATCTCAGTCATTCAGCAAAGCAATCATTAACTGAGATGTCCATGTAAGTGACACAATCCCAGCATTCCCAATTGTTAAGGAGACAGACCAAGAGAACTGCCTGCTGGGAGGACATCTTAACTCCACATGGAGCTGAGATTTCCACCCCACTCTGATCAGCAGCCTTTTGAGAGCTGTTAGGCAAGAGCTGAGATTCCCTCCCAGCAGGCAGCTCTTCAACAGTGACTCATTGTGTGTGTGTGTATGTGTGTGTGTGTGTGTGTGTGTGTGTGTGTGAGAGAGAGAGAGAGATATTTTGTCACTGGTCTTAACTGCTTTGCAGACCATAAAGCACCCTTTCTGAGTCCACTATGAATTTGAACACTTGTTATGCAACTACTTGTTAAGTGAAGACTGACTGTATTGTCTCTCTACAGCAGTGCTTCTCAATTATTTTCTGTCATGCCCCCCTAGGAAGAAGAAAACATTTTGCGCCCCCCGCGCGACTGTAAAAATTTTTTTTCTGTACAGAGGACCGATTTCCGGGTCTAAAAGTCACACGGGCAGGTTTGGCCAATCAGGATAGAGCATCATGTCTATCCAATCGGGTCCTTTGCATGTGTCACGTGCGTTGGCGGTCATGTTGTCCTCCGCATCGGGCTGCCGCTTGCGAGTGAGTCGGATGATCCGATCTAGAAATCCAATATGACAGTATTTGCCAGGTCAAACGAGCCCCCCTTTACGGAGCCTCGCGCCCCCCCTGGGGGGCGTGCCCCACTATTTGAGAAGCACTGCTCTACAGGCAAGAGAGTTATTTTTAAAAGAGAAAGTGCTATACATTTATTCTATTAGTAGTGCAAACATGCACAGAGATTTAAATGATTAATACTCACTTCCCCAAGTTTTCAATATGTCCCAAGCATGTGGAAAAGCAATAATTGTATGCTATCACTATGGATGGGTATAAAGACTGAAAATCTAGCACAAGGACAGCATTGCTGTAGAAACGGGATTCTGGCTCCATTATTAAAGGAATACACTGAGGAGCCCTCATTTGAGCTCGTTGTTGAACGCTGGGTGTCACAGCAATGTAATTCATTGGTTTGGCAATACGTAGCATCATTGATTCCACACGATACTAAGTAAAACAAAAAATCAGTAATTAGCAATCCAACCTAGAAATTTACTGAATGTTTGTCAACATCATGCTGAACAACAACTCAAGAGCAATTCATTCACAAATATTAATAATTAAAGCTGTAATGTGGAGGTCCCAGCATCACTGGCTGGCATAGGACAATCAGGAAACAAAAGCTGTATCCCATGTTTATTTTTCAAATGACAGAAAAATAGACAAATTTTGTTAGGAATGCCAATCTACTCAAGAACACAATTCTGAGACTAGCGGCAAGTGCCAGAGTTAAGACAACAGAAAATATAATTTATCCTAGAACTAATTCAGGAACCAAAAGTATTTGTGTCTACTTCTACCAAGAAAAAAGTTAACTCTCTTCTCACAGAGGAAGGATAGACCTGGAACCAATATAAACGATTGGCTAAAGCAATCATTGTCTGTAATATAAAGTGATTGTTTATGTTTACTATAATTCTCTATGAATTAAAAAGGATATGTTCATTTTTAAACAATTAAATCAAAGCAATTAAAGGTTACCTGTGATCCTCTTGTCAATACATGCAAGAACTGAATTCCAAACAACCTTGCCATTTCACTTGTTCTGCCAATCAAGTCCAATTGTTCCAATAGCTGTATATTCCCACGAACACGACTAATATAATAATCAACAATTTTCCACCTTTAAAATAAAATCATTAATATGTAAAACCTTCAAAACTAAATTACAAAAGAGTATTTATTTTGAAAAAAAGCCCAAGAATTTGCTATGAATTTTAAAAATAGAAAGCAATTTTGTATTACTCTTTGAAACAAAACTGAACAAAACTGGTATACGATGGCTTTACTGGAATACGAACACTTATGTATTTCAGATTTATTTATACTATTGGTTTTCTCTACAATCACTATGGAAAAGATTCTTCATGCACAAAGGTGCAAATTTCATATTTAGATGTATCAATTGTAGTTTATTGGGATCAGCTGATGGTATCTAGGTGACTTAACGTACCTCTCTGTGGAAAGTTAAAAAAAAAAAAAGTTGTGAGGAACATGGGGAACACCAAATGCTGCCACTTTTTTCTGCGGCAAATTTCCATAAAGCTGCAAAAGCTGCACTGTGAAATCTTTAGACAATTAAAAAAATCTTTGTTATTGATTACCACCTATTACCACCTATTATCTCAGAATACAAATTGTCTTGTGAAGATTTGAGACAATGTGAGATAACTGCAAGTTAAATAGATTAAATAATGTTAATGCTTACAATAACATTGACCTGATAATTCATATCATGTAAGTTTTCATGCATTTCAGCCAATTCCATGGGCATTGTATTTTAAATGTAAAAGTAGAGTGGTTTACCAAGCTTACTGTATTCTTAATTAATTGTATAGCCAATTTACTTTTAGATAGCATTAACACCGTTCTATTCAATGAACAGACTTATAACAGAGCTAAAACACTATGAAAACAAGCAGCACCAAGCCTCATACTTGCAACAAGCTGAAACCGTCAACTTCATTTTTAAAAAAAAACAAAACCTGAGGCTTGTTCTGAATTGAATCTGATAAATTCAAGAGTTGTTTGATAATATAGGACTCTATTACTCCACTAGTCATGCAATGTCTTTCCTAAACAAACCACAATTAAATATAGTTCAAGGTCCAGAATGACATTCTAAGCAATTAATCTGGAATGCAAGTATAACCTTCTGTTCTCTTTTTCACACCTCCAACAAAAGAGAAAAAGATCAAGGGGAGACTGGAAGCAATTTGATCAATCTCAAAATGTGCCTGATGACATCAGGAAGATGAATATGGAGATCTGATCTATAATGCTGACCTGTTGATTTACAACTTCAGTTTGGAACTACAATTATAATTTCTCCTTTCTAATATATATAGTAATCGCATTTGGTACTAGGCAATTAATTTTAAAATGATCATTACGGACAATTACCGATAGGTGTCTGCCTTGTTGTCAAACCAATCAGACAGAACACGAGAAGTGAAGAGTGGGAAACGCTGATGAAGTATATGAAAGCTCACATTTTCAAATGTATAGTTGGTCAAAGCCACCTAAAAAATAGAAAATTTGGATGATTATATTTTTCTGTAGTTTACAGTATATCCAGGAATGGAATTGATTCTATTGGAATGGAATTCAATAGAACAATTATACAGAGAATAGGTTGAAAATTGCCACAACTTTTAGTAGTTTCATTTTACAAAGAGTTTGGTACAAAACAGGGCAAGGATTCAGATTTCAAACAGCCTAAATACTGACCAAAATCTCAGAACACATGCTGAGAGAATGTTGAAGGAAGCAAGTTCAAATCCTTTATGCCACAGAGACACCTTGCACTCTCACAGTGACCTTGAATTTTCACAGGCTTTGCATCACTAAGCTAATCAAAAATGCAGTTAAAAATATTTCCCATCCCTATCAACCAATAACTAATATTGCTGCATTCCATAAAACATATTTCTATCATTCTGAAAATGAGTAGTTTATTTCAGAATAAACTCTTTGAAAATGTTATTTTATAATAATTTGAATTTATATACACCTAATAATCCTATTGCCCTTTTCCAAGTTTTATAACTTTGCCAGATGTTACCTCATGTCTCATAATTCTCCAGATATTTAATATAACTCTTCCAATAATGTTTATTTCACTCATTGTATCTGCTCCATATTCATCTAGATCTGAAGCAAATCTGTTCTCTTTCTTATCATCTAAAATAAAAAATAAATAAATTTAATGATAAATACTAAAGGTGCATATATCAGAACAAAACATTCATGCTTAAATCTAAGTTTGCTACAATGGTAATAAATCATCCTGGCAAGCTGTATGCTACACTTCAACTTAAGGATACAAATGCAATTCTCATTTTTTCTCTTGTGTTACTGAAGAATCATAACACTTTAAGAAACAGACCTGCAGGTCTGAATTTATGTCATAACAATGCATACCTTTGGCTTGTGTTCACAGGTAATAAAAATCTGATTGCATATCCCTCTGTGGCAATTATACTTCATATCTGCTGCCAAACATCAGGTTGATAAACTAAGTATGGAATAACAAGGTGATCTTAATTTATTCACATTAGAATAAATTAAGGTCACCTAACATATATTGGTTGATATTTTGATAGCTGCATCTCCTATTTCTATCCCTTATCAGAAATAAGGGTTAGAAATAGAATATGGATTCAGTTATTTAACGTCACAAACTTAGTAAGTCAAATTTCCCTATTAAACTGATAAATTAACAGCTTGCTATAGGGGCAGAATACAAGGAATACACCCAGCTAATGGTCATTTCAAAAAATGGACAGAAGACTCATAATTAACACATGGTTCACAAACACACCTGGAACACGAGAGATCATCTGACATAAATCAACATCCAGAGCAGCAGCTCTCTGTAAGAGGTATCCCCAAGAATGCATTTGGACTTCATAGCCTAACAAAATATCTGGATCATACCTAAAAACAGAAAGATTAGCAATTATTTAATTTAAATTTATTCAAATGTCACTAAATTAAGTACATATAGTTATTTGGTGAAGCAGTTTAATTCCCTATGTGTGGAAAGATGTATACAAAATTGATCTTAAGTACTGTGTACAGGTAGTCCTCCACTTATGACCACAATTGAGCCCAAAATTCCTGCTAAGCGAGACAGCTGTTAAGTGAATTTTGCTCCATTTTACGATTTTTCTTACCACAGTTGTTGAATGAATCACTGCAGTTGATAAATTAGTAACATTGTTAAGTGAATGTGGCTCTCCCTTGATCTTGCTTGTTAGAATGTTGCAAAAGGTGGTCACATGACATCAGGTCACTGCAACTATCATAAATATGAGTCAGTTGCCTAAAAATCTAAATTTTGATCATGTGACTATGGGTATACTGCAATGATTGTGTAAAACACAGTCATAAGTCACTTTTTTAGTGCCGTTATAACTTTGAATGGTCACTAAATGAACTGTTATAAATTGAGGACCACCTGTATTGTCATTATTTGTCAAATAATTGAACTGAAATTCAAGTGAAGATGACAAATTATTTTGGAACCTGGAGTTTTTTCTTAAAAAAAGCTCAGTCCTCCCGACTAAAGGCATCACAGAGCTGGAGAACATTGGTTCTTTTTTTTTAAAAAACAAAATAAATGGATTGAATTTCTAGTTAAAAGGAGAAAAAATACACAGCGTTATCGTTGAACTGATTAGCTTCATAGTAGATTTCGATGTATGAATGTATAACTTAGTCTTAAAAAAGGATTACTGTTTTGTTACTCTTAAGGCAGCATTTTTTCATAATTTAAAAAAGCTGATAGTTTCTAATTCAGAGAAACCATTTTTATAGATCAGAAATTTTAAATGTCTGTTTATTTTAGGTTATGCTATAAAATATGTAAAATAGAGTAATTTTTATGGCTACTACACTTCATTTTAAATGTGTGAGTTATTCTACAAATTAGTTTCCAGAGAAACTGAGTAAAGTAGTCCAATGTAAAAAAATTACTTCTTTTTCACAGTAGGAAAAGAGAAGCTGGCAGCTATTTGAAGTGATTAATTTTCTAAAAAAAAAAAGTTCAGTAAATATTTGACTTGCTTTTATTTACAATGACAGATCCCTGTATCGCCTTAAACTTATTTTGCATCTCTTTCACCTAAAAATAAAAAAAGGCCAAATAGCCTTGTGTTAGTAGATTGTTAGCCATACCAAACCAGATGTAAAACATTTTGGTTTCCAATTAATAAATCTTTGCTTTGATTTAAAAAGACAGTCTGAAAGCTTTAATTCTTATAAATAATGTATTCAGATGAATGCTGGCAAGATTCCTAATGGTCTTACTTCAAATAAGATGAACATTTCTATAAATTCTGAGCAAGCTTTGCATGACTAGAAATCTGCAATTTTCCATTCAGATAAAGTTTTGATCCACATGATAGATGACTGTTCTAATGCTAATTAATTACCCAATAAAAATAAATAATCAAGAATCCATTTAACAGAAACATTGGTTGAAAAAATATATACATGTCCAAAACTATTTTGCTTACCCGTGCAGAAAATGAATATTTATATTGAGAATAATTTCATTCTTATCAAGACATTCTGTGCCTGAAATGTAGCATACCAAAGCTTCTGCTGGTGGATTCACACATGAATGAATGCTTCTCATAAAATATTTTCTCTACATGGAAAATTAGACCTAAAGATATTGACTAGCTCAATGGGAATACGCTATGTGCACTAGGTAACATAAAGCAGAGTGTCAAGGAATTTTTTTTGTGCAACAAGTTTTTGAAGTTTTTTTTTTCTACACAAAAATCAAGCCAGAAGGGCATTTTTGTAGAAAAAAAAAATCCCTGGATGCTTAAAATTATAACAGCCTTTATACAATATTTCTCTGTGTGTCTTTAGTTTCATTTCTTTTGGGGCAGGGGATCTTTTTGATAGGCAGAAATGGAACTCTTACTCCAAATGAATCTTTTTTGGGGTCTTCTTAGGATGACCCATCTCATTCAAACAGTAATACAACTCTCTGGTTCAGAAATCTATCTACTCTGAAATAATAGGAGTAGTTTGAATAAATAGCAACAATCGGGTGCATATGCTCTGTAGTCTCTTAAACATTTCAGTTACTTTAATTCTAGTTGTTTTGTAACCACAGAGTTATGTATGGATGTATATATATGTATTTAACAATATAAAACAATATGAACTCTTTATTATCAGCTTTTCTTCAATGGAGTCATAAACATTGATGATGATGTCTTCCACAGGTAAAAGTAGGGCATCTATTATTGCCCTAATGTTTATGATGGATATTACTAACTTGACAGATAGTATTTCTGTGCACATTACCAAATTCAAATCCAGTATTTTCAATTAAATAACATTTAGAGCATGGATTGTTTTCCAGGAGTTCAAGACAGACTACCTAAATTTTCCCTACTGATCTCAAATCACCCAATGAGCTTTCACAGCTTAGAGTGGAAATGAACCTGGGATTCCTTGTGCCAATCAATCCCTCGACCATTATATTAGTTGGGCTCTCCAATTACATTGTAGCAAATCATATAAAAGACTCCTGACATGTTGGTGAGTCTTAATCTGTAACAGTAGATAGGACTGAGATATATAAGTAAATAGACTGATAAGAAAAATAGTTCTACTTATTTTGTTTGCAAATTTTGCCAAAACTTCACTAAGTAAGCCACAGATCAGAAGACGTTTATATGAAATCTAAATCATGTCATACTGTTTTATCCAACTTTAATACCTGAAAATCCTATCTGTATTAATGTAGTGATGGATTCACTGAATAATTTCAGCATCTTGATAAGACAAGCAAAGTATTTATTAAATTTTACTGGAATTAAAAATTAAGATATGTAACTTGATTAAAGAAATGCTACATATTTATTGCTAGTGTTATTCCACATTATAAAGGTCACTACTGATGCAATGTGAGTAGTTACAGCTATTAGGTTTCTTTTTATTCCATTCTCAGTTCTAATTGTTGGTATAGAATTCACAAGAACTCAGTTTATAAACTAAACACCTTCATGGAGAAAGCCACTGCAGTTTAACTAAATAACTTATAAGTTTCTTTGATAGGCACATATATGTGTGCCTCAGATTTAGTCCACAAAGATGTTTTTTGCACTGGTCATTTCAGAAACCATTTGGCTATTTCTGCACATTTGTTTTGTATTCTTCAGTTATGACTGATAACCAAACAATAAAAACTGTAGTCAAGTACACTGAATATATACTAGGAGATCAGCATTTATTCAGCTGTTCTGCTAAATTTTATTTTTCCACCACATGCAGTTCATGGACATCAAAGATTATTAAACTCTATATTATAAGTATAAGGTTGTAGTGAAAGCTTGATCATTTCTTCTTCTCTCTGCTGTTCTAGTAAAGCTATGAAATTTTCATTTCAACTAACAACAATTTAATGTGTCATCCAAATTAAAAAAAAATCATTTTTAGCAATAATAGGAGGGAACAAGAAAGTTTGTAAAGTATAGGGTAAAATAGCTTGTTTCCACTAATCAAAATTAAAATGAACTATAGTTCTTAGGTTGAGCAACATAAACCACAATTAATAGGTCAATCATTAAGTTGTTTCAAAGGAGAGACAACATACACATTCAAAAATTACATAGCTTTCAATTGGCAAGGCAAACTACATAAAGTTTAAATCTATACCATATTTTAAACCATTGTCATATTTATTTTATCTGCAAAACAATATAGCATGATCTTTATATGAAGCTGAATGGAACTAGGAAATGAAAATTAACATATCCTAATTCGTGTCTTTGTCTCTTTCAAGCATTCTCTAATATCCACTAAATCCAACAAAACTTACTACTTTTGCAGTAATAATTCACAATATTAGCAGCAAAACCAATTTTGAACACTGTTTTGTCCAATATACTATTTAATGTAAAAAATAATAAGTTGGGAAAGAAAAGTAATAAAAATTTCAAATATACTCAAATCCAGGAGGTAACTTATTTGAAATATAGTTCCATACATATCAACATAGAATTATTATTATTTTGCTACATGAAACCACTGACTGAAAGTCTTGCATCAACTTGATTTTGGAGGGGTTGTAATTTTTATCCCTGAAACAGTAAAAATATTGTATCAAAACTATCTGAAAATACACATCATACTTCAGTCATTGGCCAGTCCTAGAAGCTGACATACAGCATTTCAAGAAGTGTTTACCAGGTAACAACCCAGATGTTTGGTTTGCCTTTTTCATGATAGAGAAATCAGTGTGCTTTCTTCATTCAGTGAAGCCTTCAGCTGTCAAGTCTTCATTTTTTGATCTTCAGAGATAAAGAAAAATTGTAATGTTCTGTTGTTTGGAATGATTATTTTTTTATGCAGACAAGTGGTATTTTTCCTATGCTTCCAAAATGGTGGAAGATTTAAAAAAATTAAAATTGCAATTTCCAAGTTGTTTTGTAAGTCAGACGGAGCAGCGGATTCCCAAAAAAGAGAAAGATAAAATTAATTTCCTTACCTGTAATTTTGTCTTCTCTGAACAGGAATCCGCTGCTTCGTCAGGACCCACCCTTTGCTGGTTGCTTTCAGCAACTCTAGTATTCTGGTTTCCTGGATTTGGTCAATGCCATTCTCATCAGAAGTTTTCTAGTTGGAGAGAGAGAGAATTGCAAATGTACTCTGCCTAGTACACATTTTCCTTGAGAATGTATTCCAGCTGGAAGTTTCAAAGTTTAGCTTTCTGGATAAAATAAGACTTCAAAGCTTTGGCAGTTGACCCGAAGAAAGACACATCTGAACTTCTGTAAGTGCATGATTAGAGGATGCTATAAGAGCATGTAAGAAACTTGAAAATGATACATCAAACCAAATTTGGAAAAGGAGAGCTTTCCCTTTGGAAAAGACATATGTAAAAAAAAAATCATGCCTACCTATTTATTTTTGCCTGTATCACTAGGAGCAATGAGTTTTCCTATGAGTTTTTCAGAAAAATCACCTCTTTCCTGCCTATTTGGTAGATTTTTTTAAAGCTGTATTTTAAGACAGTAAGAAGTTTTCTAGATTTCACATGCATCTTAAGGATATTATAAGTTTAATAGCACTGATGTGAATTCTGGTTTAGAGATCTGAATAAATATACCTTAAAAGATAAATATACTGTTATGAAGACCCAAAGCAAACATTTAACAAAATAAAAGTGTTAAAATATGGGGACATAAGAAAGAGAAGAGAGACCAACACTTGAACAAACTTAATCAGGAATTTATAAGATGAAAACAACAACAACAAAAAAGAATACTACCTTTTAATAATATTCACTACCTCCTGAAAAAGTGCTCTCTCATCAGTAGCATATGAGACTTCCAACCCTGAGATACCAGATCTTGCAAGCAAAGGGGCATGTTCTCTATTACCTGAAAAGCAAATTGAAATGCATTTATTTCTTAAGAAAAACATGATCGTTTCACTTTTGACAGTGAGCAGTACAAATAGTATTCCAGTACCCTTCCTCCACCTGCTGCAGACAAAGCATGAACAAGTTCATGTCAATTTTGCATTTAATTCTATTATATTGAAAAGCATATGCATGTTTTTGAATTTTTTTAGAATGCTATACCACTGGTTTTTCTAAGGTTCATATGCTGTAACTTTTCACAAACATATATTACAATAAATTATCATAAATTTTTCTTTAGATTTGAATTCCTGCTACCAACCTTTGTTATTCTACATTATGAATATGCCTGATTCAGGGGAAGAAAATCATGCTAATCTCTATCAATATGCACCAGGTTAATATTGCTGGTCTAACACATGGCAAAGAGGGAGAATATTAATTAATATAGATGCCATTAACAAAACTGCCTTGGTATCCAAGCACTGAGCTCTCTGTGCAAAGAGAACCTTGCTTTCTCTTATACAAAAGATCATGGACTATCTTTTACCAGGTATTCTTCATATAGGCAGGAAATAAGCTGATGGGAAGGATTCTAGACAGAAGTAGCTACTAAACATTTCAATGTAAGATGGGGTAAAGACTCTCCTTGAGGGCAGTGATAATCTATTGAGACTAGGAATGATCAGTGAACATTATGAAACATGGCTTTTCAACAACTACTATGTAACCTAAGGCCTAGAGCATGTGGAAAAAATATTCAGTATTGTTAGAAATTAATTGATATTCACATCGAAACAATTAAAAACACATTTATTACTTCTAGTTCCAAATAAATTATTTTTTTTAAACAGCCACACAACACATACATGGCCAAAATCAAGTTGAGATTGAAACACTTTCATAGATGTTTCTATTTAAATTTGATCGTGATTTTTGTTATAATGGTTCAACATTAATCAATGTGTTTTTAGAATTTAAAAAGTTCATGGTAGAATAATCAAAATGAGATTTTACTTTGTCAGCCAACAGTATCTTAAATAAATCAAATATTCAGTACTAATAACTCTGCAACATTAAATACAATTTCTGTTTTTTTAAAGAAAATGTGCTAAATCTAATATGGTGGAATTCAGTCTATACGTTTTCTTTCCAGTTTCTGAAGGCAGCCTCTAGAAGGACATAATTTAATAAAAACAATCTATTGTTTTAAAATTAAATATTTTAAAGAAAAATGTTATCAAAGGATGCTAAAGGTAAGAATAGGAATTACTTAATATCCAGAAATAAAAGTGGATGAAAAGATATGTTTTGTTATCATATTACATTGTGTTATTCAGAACTTTAATAACAGCATAAATTTACTGAATATAAATCTAGGAGTTTACTACTTTATTCTTGCAATTAAGCTTAAGGTTTTTTCACTAGCCTAAACCAGTGGTACTCAACCTTTAACAGCTGGAGAGCCACTTCACCATTAACTGTTGCAGAGCATAACATCAAACGTGAACATTGCAATCTTTTCTTCATGGTACTACCTAATTTTGGGTGGTGTCCATCACCACATGCAATATTTACTGAACCATGTCATGGCATGTCATCTTTTTTCTCCATTGCTGTTATCCTTGTTCCTTATTGGTTGCTGGGGGAAAAAAGGGAAGATTCCCATTCTTTCCCATGGCTGCTGGGCTGGAGTGATTTCTATTCTTACCTGGCAGGGGGATCCCAGCAGCTCCTTCGCTTTCCTCCTATGGGAGGAGGTACTTCAGTGACTCCCACACTGCCGGTCCTTTGGTCAGTGCTCCCCGCGCTGCCTGATAGAGTGGAGCGCCGATCAGATGCCTACACTGCGAGAGCCGCCTGTAGGGCCTCAAGAGCATCCAGCTCTAGAGCCACAGGTTGAGTATCACTGGTCTAAACAAAGCCAAAAAGGTACAATACAATAAGGGCCCTCTTTAGACCCTACAAAGATCAGAAAACCACACAACAACCCTTATGCAACATTTAACATATTCCATGTTCTATCTTTATTCAAACCAATTTAGACAGATTACCAAACTGAATTTCTTGAACAGTCTCAGGAAATTAAAAAGGACTAGTTCAGCACAAGAGTTTTGAGGCCTGCCATCTAGGGTATGCTTTCCTCTTTATATCTTCAGGACTTCTGCAGGAGCGTGCTACAAAATATTAAACATTGTTTAATATACACTTAGGTAGATGTTAAGTATTATAGCCCTTGCAAATGTTCATAAAAAGATATAAGGTGGAAACTACCTACTATAAGTCTGTGATTCTACAACGAGATGACATGAATTTAAACACTAGCAAACCTCCTTCAAAACCACATTTTTATTTATTATGTTTATTAATACCTAAATATAATCAATTCAAAATATTGACATTAATTTTAAAGAAAACAAAATGAAATAAGGACCTTGACTTGAGATAGTTCTTGCTCTGTCTTTATCAATCACTACAGCACCAGAGATTTCCATTTTCTCAGTATCTGGCAATGGTGTGTCAGATGAGATGCAGTAGAATAAAGCACAGATAGGATCAAATTCAGGATCCGCCTCCAAATCTCTTCTTGTTCGAGCATGCAATTCTATACTTAGCAGTGTAAGATACTGTACCTACACAGAAAAGTTTATATTATTAGCTTTGTTAAAATAATTTGAAAAAAACACTACAAGCAAAACCTTTATCAACAATCAAGCATGAATTTATCCTTTAGCTAATTAATGTGAACTGTTTCAGGAATCAATAAAATCATGTAATTTAGTAATAATGAATAAATTAGTGTCTGCCTATGAATATTCGCCAATCTTGACAAGTACTTTCATTTTGATAATTTCAAAAATGATCTGAGAAACATATATTGGGTATGTAAAGCATTTTCAATAAAAAAACGAGTTACCTCATGTAAAGCCTTTGCTTCTTGAAGGTTTTGCACACTTATTTTAAAACCATAAGAATTGTTCAAAGATGGTCCTTCAATCTGAGAAGTTTCTTTCTTTTGATTATTTATAGTAGCGAACTGATTCTGTTAAATAAAACAACAAACTTCTAATAATTAAGACTATTTTTTTGATAATTTAAATAATTTAACTCTCACAATCTTGTTCATCTCCATTCAACTGGTGGGTATAAATAAATACTCAGATCATATTCCAGGTAGAAAAGCACTGCCATGTTGTTATATTTTCTAATGCTTATTTCACAACTACAATGGAAGCTTCTTTCGTTTAATACAAGACTTATACCAGGAATGTATCTCTGAAATAACCACATGGAACCATTCTCCTCTTCAATATTCTGCACTCAATTATAGCTGATTACAAAAGACTGGGAATAGCTGCACAGCTAATACTGACTGCATCGGTAATACTGCAGTTTTAGCATTTACAGGTATGTTACAGCCACATAAATTGCAACCTATACCACAGAAATTGTTTCCTAGGTTGTTGCTAATGTTTATTAACATATCCTTCTTTCAAAAATATCAAAAATATCAAAGATGTTATATGTGTTCTTCAAGCATGGAAAGTTCAGGTTCCAACAAAAGCATTAAATATTCTTCACCATCAGTATAATCTTTACAAGCATTTTCAATAGGAAATAACAGCTAGCAACAGGTTTTCGTATTAAGTCAGGAGAAATGAATCTAAAAGTGATTTCTGATATGGTGTATCATAGAAAGTCATTTTACAAATAATTCCTAAGCAATTTTCACTAGGTATTTATTTTACTCTCCCAAGCTAATTTCAGCCTACCCTTTCATATAAACTTCCACAAAGCAGTAAACTAGAACTCAACAAAGCAGGATGATCTTAAAACAAAACTTAAAAGACAAAAATCAAAACCCAAGTGAGTATAAAGTTTCATTCCTTCTTCTTACCTTAATTTGTGTTGTTAAAAGTACTTTACGAAGTGCATCAACATTTCTTCCTCGTCTAGAACTAAACTTCTGAATATCTCGTCCTATGTCTGAAAAAAGAACATTACTTTGTATTATAAAACTTTCTATGCATTTCAGTTACAGAGCTCTAAGCAGCTTAAAATATAATGAGCAAATATACTAACAAAACAAGTAAACTTTAAGACCAAATTACCTAAATAAACTCTGAATTAACTTCAATTCATAGTACAACTGTACAGTTTCTTGTCAGGAATATTACAATGACCTCCAAAGCTCCCTTCCAAATCTGTTATTCTGTATTCTGTACAATGGACTAAATTATGTACAAAAACTTCAAAGGTTTATTTTAATTCAAAAGTTGCAGAGCAGATGCTTTGCATTCAGAAAGCTACTGGTTCAATCACTGGCAACTTCAAATAGTGAATAAAAATAGAGTATTTTCAGTTAGAATACATGTTGTACATGAAACAAGCAAATGTTAGCCCCAATACTAAATCATAGAATGACATTGGATCGTTTTATTTTGATCTTATGTAAATTAGATAAAAAATGTTGCAAATTCATTAATTCTGCATCTCAACTCTAGACTGCACAGTTGAAATGGTCAGTTACTAAATCAGCGCCTGGAGGCCATTTAGATCTGAATGGAGAGAAACAGACTTTGGCTCAAGCCTGACAAGAGTGAGTGGCTGCAATTTTGGGTTTCCTTGCGTTGGGTATGTTTTCACTGTTGGTCTTGGATGGATTTGAGATTAGTAAACAACTCTCTGGTCTTTCTGGACTAACAGCTACTGCTTGATGAACAGGTGGCAGTTGAGGCACAAATTGATCTTGTGTGCCAGTTGTCTCCTTTCCTCAACTAAGAGGTCCTACAGATAGTTACTAATGGCCTGGTCATCTAATGACTGAAATATGAAATGTGCTCTACATGGGGCTGCCCTTGAAGACAATCTGAAAGGTACAGCTATTTCAAAATGCAATGGCCTGAGCAATCATGGTATCTAATTATGCCCATGTGTCATTACTGCTGTACAAACTGCAGTGGCTGCCAGTTGGCTTCAGGATGCAATTCAAAATATCGGTTACCTATAAAACCCTTTATGACATAGGGGCTCATTTTCTCAGGGACCACCTATCTTTTAATACTTTCTACCTATCTGATACATTCAGGCAGAATAGATATGCCCCAGATCCCCTCAATTAAGAATTGTCATCTTGGGGAATTGAAGAAGTATGCCTTCTCTGACTCTGCCCTCTGGAACAGCACTCTCAAAATAAGTATGGTGTTAACTTTCCTGGGACTCCAGGCTCTAAAGACCAAGTCTGAGGTTAGTGTCTCTGTGGAACTCATCAGATTTTTATTGGTTTGGTTGTTTTTAATTTGGGCTGCTACTTTTTGTTTCATGCTTTTAACTTTTTAAATTGTGTATCTGGATACTATAAGCCACTCAGGTGTTTTGGGGTGGGTAACCATAATAAACTTAATATAACATGTAAATAATACAGTAACTGACTGAATTTATTTTTAATTGCTGCATTTCTTTGGTCATAAGCTTACCTGATAATGGAGTATATCCTAATGCTTCTGGTATTCCTTGAGATATATGCTCCCTGATAGGTGTACTATGAAAGCAAGTATCAGAATTGCCATCTGGTTCTTTGCTCAATGGGGAGACACAGAATGGTATTTTGCTTTCCTTTTTGACAGATTTCTGTTCTTTCTCAGCTACAGATTTATTTTCTTCTCGAGAAGACAATACACCCTCTGAGTCTTCTAAATTAGATTGCTTAGAATTGGTGGATACTTGTTGCCAGGGTGGAAGTACTGGTGAATCAGGAGAACTATAATTGGTATAATCTTCCTCTTTTTTGTCCTTATCTATTGCTGCAGCGACAAGTGGCGTTGTCTTTACTTTAACGATAGTCTTACTCATTTCAGAGATATTTACACCAAACTTTTCCATAGTTTGAGGTAATATGGGATTTGAAGATGAAAAGCACAGATCTTCTGATTGTACAGCAGATTTGCTTGGTATATCAGAACTCACAGCAACCTTGACTATCTGATGACATAGATTCTTAGGCAAAGACATATTGGTCAAATTCTCATCAATCTTCTCCATTTCAATTGATTTGATAACAGCTCTTTTTTTAAAATATTCGTAATCTTCTTTGGCTTGAAGCCATGACTGAATTTGCTGGTAGCTTGGTGCACATTTGCAAGGCATGATTACTATCTTTTTGTCATTAATTTTACGGGTGTTCCTTTGTTTTTTATCAGTAGAGAATTGGCTATTTCGAAGGGGAGAGCCTGGCCTAGGACTCTGTGCCATTGCCAAAAATGCAGTCTTCCAGAGTTGTAGTCCCTCCAAAGAGAAATCTCCTTCAAATTCAAGTAGATCATTTGGAAGTCTAGATTCTACTGTAAGTACTCTTCCTCCAATCTCTCTGTAAAATAATTACTTTAATTATTTTTCTCATAAACATAATTTATTTTACTAGCAGTGTTATTTGTCCTTATTGTTTTTCTCTATCTAATACCATGCATGTATACATTTATTGTATAATGGAAACTTTACTATCCTCTACTGAAGCCCTCAAATCTATTCTAGAAGGTCTTCAACCTCCATCTCAGATTTGGAAAGTATAGAGGGGTAAAGAAAGAGAATCTGATTTACCAGGAAAAAGCATTATCTTCAATACAAAATTACTATATACAATAAAATATACAAGTAAAATATACAAATATACAATAAATGATAAAATGTGGTTAAATTATCTAAACAAAAGAATAAACTTAAGTCAAAATCCTTTAGGTCAGTGGTTCTCAACCTGTGGGTCGGGACCCCATTTGGGATCGAATGACCATTTCATGGGGGTCGCCAAACAAGGCTGTCCGCCATTTTTTCCCCCTTTTCTTTGGCTACACCCCTGGCACCCGGTGATGTATAAGTGGTTGGGGGTCACCACAACATGGGGAACTGTATTATGGGGTCGCGGCATTAGAAAGGTTGAGAACCACTGCTTTAGGTTCTAAGATATTACATCCAAATTAGTAAATTTAAGATAACAATTGATTATGAATAACTTTGTTGTTACCCAAGAATATTTTTCTAAAATGGTAATTTATCCAGTTTCATTTAAATATTTCTGAGTAATACCCAATCATTCTTACATGTTCATAATGGTTATTTAATTACAAAAATAAACTGGAGTGTCTTACTTTTATAGCTGAAATGTAATTATGATTTTATGTAGCTCTAGCCTTCACCTTGTAGGCCTTATGGATCCAGAAAGGAAGGCTATGTTAAATTGTATCCAACTTTTTAATTCTTACGTAAAAATGTAAACATTTCTAATGATATAAAAAAGAGAAATACGACTACAGAAAGTCCTATTGACTATCTATATAACCACATTACCTTGGCTTTTCAGGTACATCAGAGGGGTTGCTGCAAAAAGGTTCTTGATAAATTGTTTCTGCCAGATCATGATCTAATAAAGTTGACATGATTTCTTCACGACTGGGAGGTGACATTAGAGGTTTAAGGATATGAGCAGCACGAGCTGTAGAACTCCCATTTTTTGACTGTGATGGAGAGCTTGTAGATCTAGGGGAACTGTCAGGGGTTGGTGTTAATCCCTCATTGTTTCTCGAAATATACAACTCTAAATCTTCAGAAGCAGCATCCATAAGTTCACCATCGGGGGAAGATAAAATAGAAGAAAAAGAAATACTAACTGAGTCAAGCGATTGTCCAAGTTCAGAAATGACTTCCTTTCTAAAGGGATTTTGACTCCAATCACCATTTGGAGATGAAAGATTAAGAAAAATTGCTTTCTTCATAATATTTCTATCCAGTTGAAGTTGTTCTTTATGAAACATTTCAGCCTGCTGACCATCTGCTGGTGAACCAGGTTGAGACGTAGATGGAAGAATGTTTTTCCATTGATTGTGGAGATTTTCATTGTTTTCCAAACATCTTTTATCAAAAAGCTGAGGGCTATGTTGGCCAGATCTTAACCAAGATTGAGGATCTGAATTATGCATATTTTCTTCTTTAGATATTTTATTATGATTTAAAAAATCAGTTTCTGCTGTTTGACCTGGAAAATGGTCTTGAGCTACATCACTCAGAAATTTCTGTGGTAAATTTTGATCTGCTGGGACAAATTGACTTGCAGAATACAAACTACAAAATCCAGTCTGCCCTATAGCATTAATATCAAAATTGTAATTATGATCAGGTGACAGACTATCTTCAAGTGAGTAACAGCTTTCAAAACCCGCATCTGAATAAAGAATGGAACTATCAGCAGGTGTAACATGGCCAGTATTACTTAGTTGTTTGGCTGAATCTTTTAAAAGCTTGACCGCCTTTTCTTTAGATTTTTTATCCCTGGGAATATGAGGCTTTCTTGGAGATGTAACAGAACAAAGTTTTTTAGATGATTTATTTGAATCGAGAGGGAAAGAAGCATCTATGTTCGACTGAGATTTAACTGATGCTTGTTCATGAATGTTGTTCATATGCATTTTCTGTTGTCTCTTTTGGAGTAATTCTTTCAGAACTGCTAAGCCAGAATGCCCTTCACTGAATACTGAAGGAGTTAGCAGACCCTTGCTCTTACACTGAGAATCTGTTTGGGCTTGAGAGACTGTTTCTGATATTACCTTTTGTTTTGTATTTTTTTCAGGGTTAAAATGTGACACATCCAAAATAAACCCCCCCTGTTTCTGTTCCCATTCTAATTTTTTCACTGGACTTCTTAAAGAAGCTACAAAGCATTTTTTTGGTAACTGGTAAGATCCATGGCTTTCCTCAGAAGTTTTTAAAAAAGAAATATGATCAGCATGCTTTGCTGCTTCTGACAAATAAACTATTTGCTGCTGATTATCTTTACAACACAAGAAGTTACTAGGATGAATCTGATCAGTATTGATCACCTCAGAAGAAATGCAGTTTTCATTTACTTTTCCCACAGAGGATAACAGTTTGTTTTGTGAATTTGTAACTTCTTCTGTCTTTTTAAGTGCATCCTTAGAATTATATGCATTCAGTGCTACCTGAGATATACAGTTACACTGGTCATATACGTTATTTTGAATTGAGGAATCTTCCATTCTAAATATACTACTCTGACTGTTAGATCTTTGGAAATTTATTTTGGCTTTTTCCCTTCCAGATATCAGAGAAGCTATGCCTGGATGAAGATCCTCTGTCAAACTGGAACCTTGGTGCCCAATAGGCTTTTCATTTTCCAACAATGATTGGAAATAAATCAATGGATTTACTTGGGCATTAGCTGTTAATGAAAGCTGTGCTGAAGATGGGTGTCCTGTAGAACAGCCAATTGGATGTGAATTTCCCAGGCTGTGAACATTCTCAGGTAACTCCCAGGGGTTTGGTGTAAGTTTAAGTTCTGCTACAGGAGGAATAATATTTTGATTATTTGCAATTGTCACCAATGTGGACACTTTTTTAAATTTTTGTTTCTGTTTTGATCTTGGCTTTTTCTTTAAATTATTTCTAGGTTTATTAGACTGATTGTTTTTTTTGTTGCTTCTTACAGTAGCATTAGCAAATTGCTTTCTACACTTTTTAACCTGAGTTTTTGACTGAAAGTGTTTGCCCACATTGGGATTAACAGTTTTACTGCTGAACATATTAGTATTTTTAAACACTAATGTTTCTTTTTCTAGTTTACACGCAATTTCTTCGGCATTTGGCTCAGTGGGAGACCAGCAACGGGGTGGGGATACATTAACTGGACTTGCACTTCTTTCTGACAGAAAACCTAATTTAGACATAACATCACTATAATTCAAATCACAGTCTTCAGTTTCAGCACTGTATGATGGCAGAGGAGGGGAAAGAAAGGCATGAGTCCTTTTTCTGAAATATAGGGTTCTTCTAATAGTTTTACTTTTTATATTTTGTGGCTTCCCACCCAGCCTTTTCTTGGCAGACTTACATTTTGCTTTTCTTTTGTTACTTTTCTTTGGTGTTAATGGATAAATAGGATATTTGGTTGCAGGTGAATCAGGAACTTTTGGCCAGAAGTCCTTCAAAGGTGCAAGCTTCTTATATAGATTCATTTTCTCTTCAGTAAGAAAGACTTGTTCCTCACTAGAATCTATTTTTCCCAGCTTAACAAGCATATTTTTCCGCCCCCTGAATCTATTAATAATAATATATTTTATAATAACAGGTGGCAATTTTCTAGAAAGTCGCCTTCGTTTTCTACATTTTTTAGAACCATCCACATTTTCATCATTTTCTACAGAATGAGGTAGTGTGATTTTTGAATTATGTATGCCCAAACTAGATTCACTATCTTCAGTTTCATAATTTATTTTACGTTTAGCTCTGAGTGTATATTTATTACCACATAGTCCAAACGTTTCCTCAGATTCTTGAGCAAAATCTTCAAAAGGACAATCAATATAGTTCCTTGTGTCTGTGGACATTTTGTTTTCAAAAACCATATGATGAACTTGAGTATCATTCCGTAACAAAATGTCTCTGTCGGGAATATTGCTACTTGCATTATCTTGTACATAGCAGCTTTCTTTCATGGATAAAGCATCCATGGCATTTGCAGACTGCTGATTGCTAAGAACCATTTTCTTTTTATTTCGTTTTAGCTTAGACTGTTTTTTTCCTTGTTGCAGTTTGTATGTCACAGGGCCCAACTTCTGGGGCTGATTGAGACAATTAGAAAGAACTACACTAGGAAAGAACATATAGTGTGCTGCCTGTTGATTTACATTTGTTTTTTCATTCTTGTGTTCCTCAGATTCTTCATATCTAAGCTTAAAGTTATTAAGGCTATCTCCATCAGTGCTTTTTTCAGAAGAAAGAATAAGAGTCTGATTACTCTCCGAGCAAGACATAGTTTCACAGTTTTCTGGCGCTGGGAAAAGGCTATTTAAATCGGTAGTGTTTGCTTTTACATTTATTTCAGAAGATGTTTTATTTTTGGAATAAACTAAATCTATAAAGTTAGACTTATTTGTCAGAATATTTTCACTAATTTGGTGGTTCATATGCTGAGATACATCCTTTGCAACCTTTCTAATTCCAGTATACTTTCTGCTAGGCAAGTGTCTGCTTATAGAGGAGATGTCTTCACACAAAACAGAGCCTTTTTCACTTTTATTATTTTCCTGATGTGGCTTTTCAGAATGGAGGATATTGTTGAAGGATGCTGGGTACTTCATGTTGTAAATACTTTCATTTGAAAGAGAATGGATTGATAAGTCAGGTCTTATATCTGTCATGCTTGGTTGAGTAAGACCGTCTAAGTCATCAGTATTCAAAATATGAGAAGAAAGGGCACTTGTGTGTTTACACTGAAAAGTTATTTTAGCAGGTGATGGGGGTTCCAGAGTAGCAGCATCTTTATGAAAAATTGTAGTCTTTACAGTTTTGCTTGTGGCAATTGCAGAGGTATGGGTCCGGGAACCTTCATTGTTCAAAGGATTGTCTAGAACAGAACAGATGATTTTTTTTTTTTACTATTTTCTCCCTGAGGTTAAAATATCAGCAAGTATAAAGATAGCCAAATAATAATTATTGATGATAAAAGAATATAATTAAAGAAATTCTAAGGGCATCAAGCAGTACAAGATCATTATGAGACTAATAACATGGTATGAGGGACACTTTAGATAACATTCACAGAATTCCAGAATATTTATAACATAACAAGGTTATGGAAAGCTCCCAACATTTGACAACTATGTTTAATTCTGGCCCCTTAAATTTTTTGCTGGTGAACCACTAGAAAATATTGCCTCTATGTTATTATTGGGGAGGTTGAAAACAAATTCAACGGCTTCACCTAAACTTAACTTTGTGATATATGTGGGGCAAGATTCCTATCCAACGTTTCTACAAAGCACCTAACCCAGTGTTTCTCAACCTTGACAATTTTAAGGCATGTAGACTTCAACTCCCAGAATTCTGGGAGTTGAAGTCCACATGCCTTAAAATTGTCAAGGTTGAGAAACACTGACCTAACCCATATATGTGACACAGAAATCACAATGAAGAATTATTGTTTCTGAGAAAAATGCAAAACCCTTTTAAGCATACTTACCACTGTTTTCATCTGCAGTTCCATCTAACTGAGGTATAGAAAGACTTGCTAGAAGCATGTTATCATTCCAGTCCATATCATCTTCAGAAGAACTATCATCTTCACCTGAACTTTGATTTCTACTTCTGCCCATTGACCTACAAGAAATACAACCCATTTTACACAACTAAAAACGTCTGACCATAATCTGGCAGTTCAATAGTTATGACACATTGAATGTTGGACAGTAAAGACAAATAAGTCTCTACAATTCACTTTCCAGGAGGATGACAGCCTGATGGAGTATTATTGTTGTGGTGAGATCACTACCTGCTCAGATCTAAACTGTAGCAACTTTTTCTCTTCAGTGGGAGAGAACTATTAGATTACTTTGATCCTAGATGCTAATAAATCAGAGGGCTCTGATTATTTCCTTGGGTCAGTCTATGGAATACAGATAGTTGAAAATCTCCTCCTACTCTTTTTCAATCTAGCTAAGGAAAATCAACTGGGACACAATTAGAATGCAAATAACAGAAAACTAGTTTAACACCAGTAAAAAATGCATAATTGAGCTCACTTTGTGGGAGTGATGAAGAAGCAGGATTATTCGCTTTTTTCATTATTTGTCTCAATGAAGATGTGAATAATTTGTCAACCCACTTATCACTTTGCTCAACTCTAGCTAGTTTATTATACCTAGTAGGAAACTTCATGACAAAGAGACCATTCCTAAAAAAATAAATAAATTGGATAATCTGATTAATTATAAGTGTGGTTAATATCTCCCTCCTGGGCAAAGTTACTGAGCTGAGATAGCTGTTCAGACTGGATGAACTGAATTTCTACATACATTTCAACTAGGGTTTAAGTCTGGTTTAAATAACAACTCTCCTGTCCATCCTATTAGACGGCTTTTGCTGAGACATAGATAGGCAGAGTTGCTTCTCCTCTATGATTTTTGATACAATTTACCATGGCATGCTATGGAGATGCTTTACATTTAATCGTACCTGTTTTAGTGAGTTGCAAATAGATGCTACGTGTGTCTTCTAACGCACCTCTTTCAAATGAAGCACTCCATAGGCTTATTTCTTCCCTCCACCAACAAGCCTAATCTCTCCTCTCCTGTATCAAAATCCTTTCCATTCTTACTATGGTTTTCAAAAATATGACAATTAGGGCTAAATAATATTTAGAGAAAACCAGTATGACTATGCTTTAATTAGGGCTTCTAGATTACCTTGGTTCAAGTTGTACCTACTGCATATTAGACTGAGTTTACATTTATTCCTATACCTTATCCTACATATATTTTCTTGATACTATATTAGATCATGGATAATATATAGATTATATAGATTTTCTTCAGTAATATGGAAAGTTCAATACAGGCTGATCAGTACTTTTATCAGATATGCAACTGTACAAAAAAAAAGAATATACCTTCGCTTTGCATCAACTTCATTTGAGCTGCTATCCCATTGTTGGGACATTAACAAACTGAGATCCATTTCTTCTTTTTCAATCTGCTGTTCATTTTCTTCATCATCACTGTTCTGAAGATTTCTATAGTGTCCAGAAGAATAATGCTGTGATGATGCATTTTGTTGTACAATCTCATATCCATCATCTTCCAACCCAGCTAAAAGATGTATCATGGCTTGATCAGAACTGTTATTCACTATAGGAAAAATAGAATGTATTTTTGTATTTGTTTTTTTAAATCTCTGCATTTGTTTTTAATAAAACCTAACAACCTCACAATCTCAGTGCCATAGATGAACAAAAATACACAAGATTTTTTGTTTTTATTATCATTTCTCTCATGTATCTTGACATGTATTTACCGAACGCTGTGATATGAGCAATATTATGTTGACTTGCATGTTCCATGTTGGGCACAAGTGAATGGTTTGTTTATTTATTTAGCATATGGCAATGTATATTAGCTAGGAGACTACAGGGTTAATACAGAGTAGTTGTTTGGCTGCCTAAAGCTGCTAGTCCATTCAGTTCACACTTGCGTGCTATCCAAGATGCACCACAGAGGGTGAACTAGCTCCGCACTCAGAATTATTAACAGTGTTCTGCAGTGTCATCTGGGGCTTTTCCCTCTGATGTCACCTCGCATTTGGGGGTCACATTTGGGTACGTCCTGCACCACTTGAGATCATACTTCTGTACAAAGCACCATTATTTTTCCCACTGAAGTGGTACCTATTTATCTACTTGAAGGTAACATGCTTTTGAACTGCTAGGTTGGCAGAGGCTGAGGCAAGTGATGTGAGCTCTCTCTGTCATGTGATGCTAGGACTTGAACTGCTAGAACAAAGACTATCTACCAGTTTTTAAGCCACTGAGCCACTGCGCCTTTTTACAAATGAATGGTGATAATGGAATAAACAGTGGTGAGTTGGGGGAAAACTGTGCAACCTTCTGAATGAATGCAACCTAGAAGAAAAAGTTATATTAAGTGATATGAATGGACTAATGGGAACCAAACAAGAAAATGCAGAAAAGTAATTAATAAATATTTTTCAGAAAAAGGTTCATTTTTTTTCAAATATTTGGCTTCAGCATATTTATACATACATATAGCCAAGGAAGGAATCTAAAGCATTATTGATTATAAAAGATTGAATTAGTGAAGAATACCAGAAAGAAGAATTATTTAAAATGGGACAGCCACATCTGAATGTGCTAAAAATGGATTTCGGGGGTGGTGGTGGTGATAGATAATGGAAATGAAGGAAAATAATGTGAAAGAATGACTGAATAAGAATATTAGTTTTGTATGATAAATACTACAAGATAAATTCCAAGAGAGTACAAGAAAAAGCTGTGGAAAGTACTTGAATCAGTGTTTAAAAAATGGCTTTAAAGAATGCTATAAAAGAAAACAAAGGTCAGAGGAAGAAAAAAACGATATTGATGGAAATAAAAACTATATTAGAAGTGGGTGAAAAGGGTTTAAACAAAGGTCTTCAGAAGAGTGTACGCAAATGAACTTATTTGGAAGGAAACTAAAGGGAAAGAATACGGGAGGAGATATTTTAGCAACTTACAAAGAAATGATAGTGATATGTTAAAAAGTGACATTGAAATAAATACTACAAAATGTCAGTGTCCAGGAAATAAGTGTATGAAAATGCAGTGAGAATGTTGAAAAATGGTAAGGCTACAAGGTCGGGAAAGATATCCAGGCATGTGCGAGAGATGTTGTGTCAATTTGATAGGGCACACAGGGCATTGAGGGTCAAAAGAGTGATGGAAGTCATGGGGGATGCTAAGAAATGCCATGGGGGTCAAGTAGAGTCTAGAGGAGGATAGCAAGGGTCAAGAAGGGTGCATGAGAGTGTCATGATGGCCACGGATGGCATGTAAGGAGGTGATGTGGGTTGGATCAGGGAAGGTATATGTGAGTGGTATGGATTGGGGTGGGTGCATAAGAATATACAAGAGGTGTTACATAGGCTGGGGAAGGCACGTGGGCAGAGCAGATGAAGGAAGGTGTATGGGGCCAGCACAGGTCTGGGGAAATACACAGGGAGGTGACATGGATTGAGAAAAACGCATGGAGGTTTCTTCCTCCCTTCTTTCCTTCTTTCCTTTCTAGCAGGTAAGTAAGTGGCTGCAGCTGGGTGGGGGAGAGAGCAATTGTTTGAGAGAAACTGGCCAAGCCTGGGAGAGGAGTCAAATGGGTAATTAGTCTGGAATCCCCATATGGATACAAGAAGGCAAAGGCCGACTCCCTCCTTAAATGCCATTGAACCTTATCTAGTCTAACCCAGGTGCAAACTTTCAGTGTGAGAAAATTCCTATGTATAAGCTTGGGAAATAAAACAGCTAACTGAACTCTTCATGCGTGGATCTGGTTGTTCATGCCTCACAGCGAGTGATTGCAAAAATGCTTGGGAAACTATCATGGAATGTTGAAAATGAAGATCAAATGACCACAGCAGTGGCGTAGAAGCACAGCAGCAGCAACTTCCCCAAATTTCATTCCTTTCGAAGTCATAGGTCCTAGATTTTGGACACATGCTTTAAATTTATTTATACTTAACATTATGTAAAAATTAAAATGTTAAAGAGTTAAAATTTTAGAATTAAAAATTTGAAAAAGTTATAAAAAAAATTGATCAACCAACCCCACAATTGCATGCTCCTTTGGGCTTCCCATGCAAGGCCATAGAGCCATGTTTTAACCCCTTTTCAGAAGATCAGGAGATTGGGGACCTTCTCCAGGGGAAGAATATTCCATAGTGCAGGAGCAACAGCAGAGAAAGCACTCTCCCTAGAGCCTGCCAGCTGGACTTTTTCTGCAGCATACCTTCCCTGACTGACTGGCTGGGAAGTTAGCCCATTTGAAATACCTTGATTCAAAAACTGTGGCCCTATGATGCAGCATTTTGCCTAGCTAAAGGTCATGACAACAAGAATTTTAGCAATATATAGATATTAAATTTGGAGATCACAGAAATAAAAAATAAAAAAGGATCAAATCACACATGCGCAAACCAAATATATAAATATCAATAAAGAATGGAAAGGAAAGACAAAATCAAGAGTCACATTTGGAGAGAATTGATGAGAAGTTTAAAGAATAATCAGGAGTGCGTGAATAAGTTTAAGGGGGTAGACAGAAGCAATAATAATTTGCAAGGGCAGAGAAGAATAGAAAGGCATAGTATTGTAAAAATAGATTTCCTTTTCTCCCATCTTTTGCCTTTAATTTCTTTTGCTTAATAATTCTTACTTTTTCCACATTTTAGGTATGTGTATAATGTGATGGGTATGTAAAAAATAAATCAAATACATGGATATACTGTAAGTAATAAAAATGGAACACACTAATAGTTATTATAGTACTTTTTAATTATCTGATTCCCTGGCCTTTTAAACAAGCAAGACAAGCAGGATTATTAATATAATAACGCTACACAAATTAATTATAACCAAAGTAATTAAAACAATTTAATATCTATATCTAAATATTCTTAATCCTTACTTAGAAAAGCCTTTGTGAATTATACTTACTAAACACAGGAGTATTATTAAATCTCTGAGATACTGGTTGGAAATATTGACTAGTTTCCATTATATTCAAAATGGCTTCTTCATTTATAAGTGCATCCTCTTTATATTTGCTTTCGGACTCTTCTAAAAAATGAACAAGGATTCTAGGTAAGCTGTCAATATTTTTTTACAAATATCACAAGACTATCAACTTATTAAAATGTGCATTTACATTTTCTGAAGATATAATATATTGAGAACATGCTTGTGGTTCAAGAGAATTAAGATATATTCATACCCCATTTTAATAAAATGATCCATAAAGAAGCTTTCTTTTTCTTATCTATTTGTTCTTTTTGTATATACATTTGTTTTCTCTTGCTCAACCGTGTCCAACTCTTGGAGACTGCCCAGACAAGTCCCAGTAGTTTTCCTGGAAAGATTTAGCATTGCCTCTTTTCCAGGATAGAGAAAAAGTGGCTAGTCAAAGTCACCCTGCTGGCTTTGTGCCTATGGTAGGGCTATAACTGACAATATCCTAGTTTCCAGCCTGATATCTTAACCACTACACCAAACTGGCTCTCATTGTATATTACTTATACATACTACATATACATATGTAATACATATTACATACACTCAAATATATGTACTAAATTTCCTTTATCTCCAAATACTAAGTAGCAATACATATGAATTTGTTCCTTTCTTCAGCAAAGTGGAATTAATCAATATATCTTATATATAAATCTTATCAGAATCTGTTGAAAATTAACAATGCTAAAATGTTCCATCTTAATTACCTTCATATTACCATTACCAATATTCCTAGTAACACATGTAGTTATAGCATGTTATATATATACATTGTTTTAAAGTTCATCATAAGCCAAAGTTAAATAGTCAAGATATTTACCAATAAAAAAAAGCATGTTAACATTAAATAGGATTATAGACACTCATGAATAATCACGCAAAGTATATCAACAAATTGTTAATTAAGTACAAAATAAAATACAGATGAGAATGAAGATCAGTCTCTTTAGTGGAAGAGTTTAGTCCTTGTGTTCATTTCAGTATCTTCTTCCATTCTGAATAAACCAGTTCTAATAGATCAAGTCATGTAATGGAGGAAAACAACTGCTGTATTAATAATACTAACCTCTGTGCAGCTCCTTATCACTGTGTACTTCTATCATATTTGCTGGTGAGCATGAAATAACTTTAGGTACCTCAGAATGTAATGTCAATTCAGCAGAGAATTCTTGTGATTCATTATTGCTGTCCATTGAACCAGATGTCCTAATTAATAACAAAAAATATTTAACATGATTGTTGAATCCAGAGGTAATGAGATAAAGATTAACATATAAATTAATACTTACACAGAAAAATCACTTTGTTTGAGTATTTCTTTAAGTCTCTTCTGAAAGATTCTTTCACTTTCTGTGGTGGCCACAAATCCACGATCTTTTTTCATGAAAAAATGTAGGAATTTAGAGTCACTATATTAATATTCTTTCTCCTTAAGAATTGTTGTTCAACATTTTTAACTATAGATAAAGCAATATATCACCTGTAAATTGCCATGCCCATCTAAAAAAAAGAATCTGAATCAACAGAAAAAAATTGAATTTCTCTGACATATCCACAAAACGTGAAGTAATGGTAGCCCTCAACTTATGACTATTACAAATATTTATATATTGTTTTAATATATGATATATATTATTATATTATGAAAGGTTTAATGACCTAAATCACAACACTGCTGAAAAAATGGACATGACTCACGTGCAGCATTTCCACAGACGTGTGATCAAAATTCAGATGTTGGCCACCTACCTGCATTTATGGCCATTGGATGCTTCAGCTCCTCCCTACTCCCTCTCATCTATGCCCTTTTGGCTGCCCTGGACCTGTCTTGCAGGGGTAAACAGTGGTTTGCCATTGCCTTCTTTCTAGGGCTGAATGACTGGCCCAAGTTCATCCAGTTGGCTTTGTGGGAACTAGTCTCCTTATTCTAACTTGAGGCCTTAACTTTTATACTAAACTGGTTGTTAGGAGCAATAATATTGACACAAAATGGTACAAGATTTTGATTTATTTGAGAAAAGTAACAAAATGAAGAAGTGAAGCAAAATATACTCAAATTAGGCAATGAATTTTAGCCACGCGCTTCAGAGTAATTCTTGACAACGTAATCTGTAAGACGTAGGCGGGCAACTAATTTTCCCAAAGGCTATATGACAAATTGGGGCTGTTGCGGAAAGCTAAACCTACAGGGCTCTGAAAGTACAGAGGCATGCATAGACGCACATAGATAAATTGACAAAAAAAATAGCAGCCACCTTCAAAATAAAAGCAATGTGATTGGTAATGCATGCATGGCTTACACTTATTTGTATTTGATTTCTAGTTTCCGATTGAGCTCACATGGGCTGGACAGGGACAGCCAAAAGACCAGATGCGAGGACCATAAAATGCTCCGGTCTGCTGTAAGATACCGTATTTTCCTTTGTATAAGATGCTATTTTTTCCTGCAAACACCCTGTTCAAAAATCAGGTGCATCTTATACAAGTACAGCTTCTTATACACACACAAAAAATGGTAACCTCCGCAGCCCGGGGCATGCCGCCTGGTGCAGTGTCAAGCCCCTGTGGGCTTGCCACTAACAGGAGGGGAGAGAGGGCAAGGTCATTGGATGGCGGGTCCGGAGGCAGCGGATGGGACCAGCAGCATGGATGGCAGCAACAGCCTTTTCACTCCCTCGTACCTGTATGCTGGCTGGGGACCCTGTGGAACGCAGCTGCGAAGCCTTCCTGCTCGATAATAGCAGCAGGCTGAACTTACGGATTTGCTGGCTCAGCTATTCGGCGCTCCGCCAAACAGCTGATCGGCGTGGAGAAACGGCATGGATTTTAAAACCTGCCTTCACTTCCCTTGCCTTGCTGTCATGCCGGTGCTCACGCCGGTTTGTTTACCAGGGTCGGAAGGCTGCTGCTGTGAACTAACTATGCATGCTCATCATGCCGGATGCTGGTTAGGTGGGTGGGGCCGGCTGGGAGGTGTCTATTTAGAGTGCTGGGAGGCGGTTGCTCCCAGCGCTGACTTTGTTTGCTGTAAGCTTGGAACTCGCATGCCAGAGCGTTCTATATAAGGATGCGTCTTATACATGGAAAAATACAGTATTAAACTAATGCATTCTTGAATTTGTAGCATCTTCCAGATGCTAAAAAACATGCAATTTACTTATTTATCAGTTCTTAGATACAACACTTTGCAAATTAGAGCAATGCATTCATATTATTCTAACTTTAAGAAAGAATGCTTTTTCTTCACTATTTCTGCTTTTTTGGACCTAATACTATATTGGTAATAGAAAAAGAAAAGAGAGTTTAAAATAAAATGAAATATAATCCAATGAGAACATATAAAAGCAGCAAGCAAAGAGGGAAGAAATTCAGAAAATGTTATGATGTTATATTACATGATACATTACAATATTTTTATATCCTGCCTTTCTTTTAGGAGTTCCCAATAGCAGCATCCAATCAAAATTAGACACTTTTGTCCAATTCTACCTTGTGAGTTAGGAGGAGTAATCTGTGATGATTCTTTGTTCTTTCGACGCCGCTGTTTCTCATCCTCCCATATTGCTTGTAACCCTGGATTCTGACCAATCTGGTCTGGAACAGTAAAGATGCAGCAGAATCAATGGCAGTGTCAAGCTTATGAAGATATAGCTTTACAAAAGGTTTTCTTGAATAGCAATACTGACAAAAATCTGCCCTCAATCATGCTAATCATGTTAGGCTTATATTTCATCTTTTACCCAGAAGCTCAAGAGATAACAACTGACTAAAGTCACCAATTATGACTTTATAAACTTTAATGGTTGAAGGTGGACTTGACTGGGTACAGTTTAGCACCTTCTCTACTGGCTATCAAACAAGTTATTTAACTTTTTCTAATAAAATATATTATTGCTTAAGGGAATTCAAATATTTTAAGTGAAGGAATTATACACTGAACTGCAGAAATAACAAACCTGCAAATATACCATGTGATCACACAAAGAACAATACTTTACCTTCAATATCCAATCTATTTAAAATATCAGCAGCTACTGCATCCACTTCCAATTCACAGGTACTCTGTGGCTCTATACCTTCCAATATCGAATAGCTGCATTTAAATTAAAGTTTAAAAGAGTGTATTAATATGTTGCATTTTTTTAAAAAAATGTATTATATATAAATGTAAGAATTATATACAAAATTTTATATCAAAATATATAAATAATCACAGATTTACAATAGTTTTAACCTTAGTGCAATTAAAGAATGAGAAGCATTAGATATGTACAAATGATAATTTATTTCCTATTCCACCAGTGCTAAAAGTGAGCATCTCCCAAGCTTGCATTACAACACAAAAGTAAGGGCTAAAGGTATCTGTAAGCCCTGGGGAGCAAGATATAGAAGAAAAAAAGCAGACTGACATCATGTCACAATCAGGTCAATGGAATTCAAGAACAAAATTAAAGAAAGGATTGTTGAATATGAAAAGTCTGATTCTTTATTTACAATGCAGGTACTCTTCAAATGTTGAGGGTCACACTTCTCACAATTCCTGCTAACATGGCTAAAAGCCAAGGAGTGAAGAAGTTGCAATTTCAAACATTTGGAGACTATTAGAAGTGTGTATGCATGCGTGTGTAGATAGGCTGACTATAAGTATTAGAACAAATGTTTAGTTTAGTTACATTGCTGGAAAAATGAGTCAGCAACTATAAAATATATGAGAAAATTGGGTCAAATGTCATAACATTTCAAAATAGTATCAATTATTTAAGAGATCTTCAAGTCCAGGGCAATTCTCCCATTAACACATTCTAAGTAAATAAGAATACATGGGTGCTAGCATGTTCTCAGAAGGCTATCTCTATCCTAGTATATAAAACAAAATAAATTAAAAAATTAAAAAAATAACTTTGATTATAGCCCACTGATTTAGATTTATGGCCCTACTACAACTTTAATTTGATTAAACTACTTAAACCTGCAGCTATATTTAGTACTAATACATGTATGTCGATATCCCATGGGTTAAGATACTTGCTAAAGCAAATATATATCCAGATATGCCAACCTAGGAATCTGATTATCTTCCCACTGATGGGATCTTGTAGCAGATCTTGTCCAATTATCTCCGCAACTTCCAATTTCTTCAAATGCATCACCTATATATAAAACATAGCCAATATGTAGTATTAGAAAACATGCCAGTTTATTTGAATCTTTATATATTAAAAATTTGAAATACTGCTTATTTAACAAAAAGTTTATTATACATAATTTATTGGCAAAACCCTGTAATAAAATAAGCAAGGAATTAAATAGAGTTTAAATTAATCCCCATCTGCATTTTGTTTGCTGAATGTAATTTTATCTAAAAGTCTTTTAAATTGAGAGAACATTGGAAGTGCAAAAGTAGATCTAGGAAATTATCTCATTTTCAGAGAAAATTACGAATTCTTAATGTTCAGGGTTTGAGATGCATGGTAGTAGCTGCCTTTGAGTTCTTCTGTTACAACAGAGTATATGTGACAACATAGCAGCTCAGCATAGATAGCATCATACAGAACTATTAGAATATGTATTCATGATGATGCCTATCTTCTATAAAGAAGCAGCAATCAACAGCCAAATAAAAGCAAAAAACCCCACCTTCCTTATGTTACAGAAGATCCCAAAGGGAATAATCGGAATTATGGCAGGAATGTTAAGAAACATGAGAATGATTTACAAGAATGCAATTTATTCCTATATTCAATGCTTAGCATATTTTATGCAGATGTACTATGACAGGTAGTCCTCGCCTAACAACTGTCTTGTTTAGTGACCATTTCAAGTTAGGATGGCACTGAAAAGATTAACTTTACGACTTGCCCTTGCATTTATGACCATTGCAGCATCCCCATGGTCACGTGATCAAAATTCAGGCATTTTGCAATCAGCAGGCATTTATGACCATTGAAGTGTCCTGCACAAATATGACCAACATTTGTGCACTTCATAGCCAACTGCTGACAAGCAGAGTCAATAGAAAAGTTGGCAGTAAAATTGCAAGTCACAATCATATGATGTCTTGCTTAATGACCATAGGTACTTTACTTGACTGTGCTAGAAGTGGCATCGTAAATCCGGTATGGTCATGTTATTTTTCACTTAATGACTGTGTCACTAAGTGCCAGAGTTTCCAGTTCCAACTGTGGTCATTAAGTGAGGGCTACCTGTAATTCAAAAATATGTCTATCTCTGTGTATTAGAAAATTAATATACTTGTTCATAAACCAATGCTTTAAAATGCATCACTGGCCATATCTGTTATGACTGCATCACAAATCTCTATATAACTGAATTGACCATTCTGGCAGAAGGTTTTTAAGAAATTGGCAATATTCAGGTAAAATATTTATCTTCCAAAAAATTACCTTTTCCCTCACCACAGCACCCTTAGAATTATGTACATCTTCATTTAAATCTAGCTGCAGTATCTATTATGGCAGACTGAGAAACTGAGAAACCTGCAGAAAAGCTCTCTCGTGTAATCAGAAGTGCAATATGAACTGAGGATATATTTATGTTTTTTAAAGCAAGATTGAACAGATTCTAAATCCATTTTTCAGCCAATTTCAGAAACCTATAAAGGGCTCTTCAATATTTGTTTTCCCACTATTAACTTCTGACAGAAGAATGAAATGTGATTTCAGTGATTTCATACATAAAAAAGGTTATTTTGAGAAATCTCTCGACAATAAATGTGGTTGTATCTAAGACCAAAATACAATGAGAATAGAATAGTAATTATGGAAAAACCTATTGCACCTGAAGCATCTATGAGAATACTTTAATAATTATAGACACCAGATGAAGAACTATCCCAAGACACATGTAACAGAAAAACAAACTGCAGATCCGAAAGAAAGGAAACAATAAAATAGGAAATAAAACAATAAATTATAGAAAGGCTCAGCTCTTTCCTCAAATTAGAAGATAGCACTATATAAATGTCTATATAATCTTTCTAAGTAGTACAAAATAGCCACAGTACACTGAAAGTGATAAAGAATAGAGAGTTTCCACATGGAAAATATCAAGGAAGATTGCACACTACAGGAAGAACAGCAGAGCCCAGTCTGACTCCAAACAGAGAAGAAACAACTGCAGGAAGCTTGCTTTATGCTCCTCCGATTTCAATTTTTTCTTCCTTATGCTGTATTTTTATTTGATAAGTCTAGGGATTATATCCTTAAGTTTCTAGAAATCTTTTTCTTTTGAACAGTAGTGTAAATACTTTAAATGAACAAACTCTATACTTTATATGCAGCCAGAGAGCAAGAAATGTTGACTTAGTTCACAAGTCTTAAAAAAAATTACTTGCCACAGTTTCTGAAGCTACGGTATGTTGTTATAATAGGACATGAAAGGAGATAGTAATAAGAATTCTGATTTTCAGGCCTGGAATGTCTCAAATAAGTGGTGTTACAGGATACTGAACATAATGTTCTAAATACGTATCATTTAAGATATTTAAGATATATCATTTAAGATATATTCTTCAATATCTCTTGTAAATTTTAGGTGAGGAACCATGTATCTATGGGTTTTGTTTGAATAAAATTTTCTAAATGTACTCAATTTCAGTTCACTGTCATTGGATTTTCTTAAACTTCAAACATTAAAAGTATTCTTTATTTTCTCTTTCAAATGATAACTATACTCAGGCAGAATTAATATACTGTATCTATCTTTTACATTTATCTATTGTACACTATAGCTGATTAAGTAATCACAATGACTACCGGTAAGTTCAAGAAGTCATATGCTTATTTTTTATGCACGAGGAATTGCTGCTTTGTCATTCATTAGAACAGCAAGAGGGGTATAAAGTAAAAAAAAAAAGCATGGAGAAGTAATACTCAGCCATTATATCTGTAATTTTTTATTCTGAAAGAAGAGAGAGAATCTTGGATTATGCACCCAGCAGATATTAATAGTGAGAAATAGTATGGAACATAAACAATTGATACAAAAGCAACCATTATTTCCATAATTTACAGCTTATTCTAGAGGCTGAATTGTCTGAATACGTTTGAGATAACTTCCATACCTTTTTTCTTTATCTTTCTAAACTTGACTGCAGCCAGATTGATTAAGTTCATTCCATATAAATTATAATCTATAAAGAGCTGAAGGAGGTAGGGAATATGAGCTTCATGAGGTTGGTAAATTTTATTCATTATAGCTCCACCTTGTAGAAGCTCGCATACTCTATAATTAAATAAAAAAATCATCAGTAGTATTTCAACATTATTTTTAAAGTAATATTTAAACATGGGAAAATTATTGAATATAATTTGAATATAGCAGTTTTCTGACATTTGTACAAAGAATTACAGCTACATATATAACATTTTAGATACTAAAAACAAGATTAAATGAACCTAAGCACAAGCGTTTGAGGTATCTACAGATGTCTGTGTCTAGCTGTTCAAAATATTTGTTTTAAGCAAAAAGAAACTGCACTTAACAACCACATCTGGACCCAGATTTTTGGCCTACGTTGTTGCGGTCATTAAGCGACTTACCCTGTAACCTGATTTGATTTTACAACCATTTTTATAACAGTTGCAATCATTAACCAAATCACATGGTCATTAAGCAAATCCAACATACATAATGTTATTTTTTGCTGCAAAATGACAAAAACCGTCGCAAATCACAGTCATGTGGCAGTGGGATGTTGCAACTGGTTGTAAATGAGAGCCAGTTGACAAGCGCCTGAAATGCAATCATGTGTCTACTGGGGTCCTATGTTTGTGGTTGTCATGACTTGAAGGACAAGCTGTGACTTGTGTTGAGTCCATCATAATTAAAGCCATGTTTAATTCAATGCGGAAACAAGAAAAGATGCCTTCTTTGTGACTGAAGCAAAGATTAGTTGGAGCAAAAATAATAAATAAGCTCAAGTTTCACAATAGTGTACATCTTAATAAGTTACAAATTATAGTTACTATTGTAACAGCATTCAGCATTATGGCACTTTTTAAAACTTTTTTTTCTACTGGTCAAGGGTTGCAAGAAGCACAGCAATGATGTTACTGCATTAGTGAAAACAGAATTTTTCAGAGTTCATCCTTTTGGAGATTAAGATTATCTATTAATTATTTTGCTACTGAACATTAGCAAAAACCATCTACCTGGGGAGGAGTGTGGGTAAAATGGAGGCAACAAATTTGGTATCTGTATTATATGTAGGAGCCGTGGTGGTGCAGAGATTAGAATGCAATATTGCAGGCTAATTCTGCCCACACCCAGGAGTTCAATCCTGACCAGCTCAGCCTTCCATCCTTCCAAGGTTGGTAAAATGAGGACCCAGATTGTTGAGGGAAATATGGTGACATTTGTAAACTGCTGTTAAACAATATGGAGTGGTATATAAGTCTAAGTACTATTGCTATCTACAACTCATAGTACTTCTGTGCATACGAATAGTCTTTGACTTACGAGTGCAATTGGGATCAGAATTTTGGTGGCAAGTTGAACAAGTTTTAAGTCAAGGCATCTGCCTGATCACATGATTTTTATGACCGTTTTTACAGTGGTCATTAAGTGGATCACATGGTCATTAGTTGAAATCATAGTTGAACAAATCATGAAACATTTTACAATGGCCAGAAGTGCTTTACAGGTGATAAAGCAGTCTTTCCAAAGCCATCGTAAGTCCAAACTATTGTCGTTAAGTCAAAGATTACCTATACAGATAGACCTCAACTCACAACCATTTGTTCAGCAACCATTCAAAATTATGATGTGTCAGCCCTTCTGACAAAACCAGGTAGGAAATACAACTAGATGAGCTAAATCTACTTTATTGTAAGGCTACATCAATAGAATCCTGAAGGTCTAAAAGGATAAAACTTCATGCCACCATTTCTAACTGTTGATCCATTAGAGAGGATCCTTCCTAATTTCTTTCTCTGACCATTAAGTCACTGGAGCTCCTGCCTCTCTTGTCTAATTGTTTCCCAAGCAGAATCTTTTCACCCCTTTCTCCAACGTCATTCCCACAGTCCATTACATGATGGTGTTGAATGAAGGACTTGTTACTTGTGCCCAAAGTTATGGCCCTTGAAATATCCCTACAGTCAGGTGGAAATGTGGCCATTTGACAGTCTGCCAGCGCCTACAGCCACAGGAGTGTTGCAACTCTCCTCACTCACCTATCTCTCCCTCCATCTCAGCCGCCCATCTTGCTCCCCTGCCCATCAGGCCTAGGAGGCTTCAATCATTCCCTATGCTTCCCTTCCCAGCAGATCCAAGAGGCAGACTCAGTCCACCAAGCCTGGAGTCCTCATTCTGTCCCAATATATCAGCATGTGCAACCAGCATGCACAAAGCATTCAATTTTACTCTTTTTTCTCCAGCTACTGACAGTCATGCCCAGCTTATGCAAGGTTGCCACATACCATTCTCCATTCTCCTGGTGCTTCATAAGCCTCCTTCTCCAAATCATGCAAGGCTTGGAGAAGGGGGCTTCTGAAACATCGCAAGAATGGTGCCTGCTCAGAGAATGGCACTTGGCAGCCTTAGTGAGAAGGCCATGCCTTGCAACAGCCAAGCATATCTGTCAGTAGCTGGAGAAAAATGGTGAAGGTAAGTGGAGTGCTTTTCATGTGCTGGTAGGTCAAAGTGTAGAATGAGATCTTCTGGGAATCAAGAGAAGCAAATGCAGGCCTCTCAGGCTTGTGAGCTGAGGGGCAGGCCAAAGCCTCTAGAGCAGGGGTGTCAAACTACCGGCCCATGGGCAGGACACATCACGTGGAAGCTGTGCCCACCCTATTGCCGGCAATGGCAAAACCGGCCCGATACGTTGCACGTCACGTAACGTCGCTAGTTTGATATGCCTGCTCTAGAGCAAGGGTGTCAAACTCAATTTCACTGAGGGCCCCATCAGCATTGCAGTTGCCCTCAGGGGGCTGGGTGGGTCTGGCCAGGGTGGGTGCGGCCTAGTGGGTAGGTGTGGCCAGCTCTACATCGTTCGCGTCAAGGGTGCCTGTGGGGGCCTGGGCAGGAGTGGGATAGATCTGAAGGTCTCTGGTAGAAGGGGGACCGGGGCAAGTGCCAAGGAATGGTCCACTGGAGGAGCCTCACTATTCCTCTCAGGCCATGTGGGAGGGGGCTTATGGAGCTAAGACTGAATGTGTTTCAGCATAGATGGCCACCACAAAATTGTACATTGGCTCCCGGCTGGCCTGGGCCAGGGCCAAGGCAGAGGGGGCCGTTCCCTCATTGTTTCCAGGATGGCTTCGCGGGCCACATGAAACCACTTCACGGGCCACATCCAGCCCCCGGGCCTTGTGTCTGACATGTCTGCTCTAGAGCTAGTGGGCCAGGGAGTATAGAGAGCAGACCTGGTGGGCTGAGGCCTCATAATCAATTAAAGTCACAGAGTTTAGCTGGTAGTTGCAGTTATCGCTTTTTAGGTACACTGTGGGGAAGGTGGGAGGGGAAAAAAAAGGTCAGCCATACACTGTGAAGATAGTAAATGAGAGTACAAAGTTACTTTCAAAGAGTACAAAGTTACAATTTCATCAATTTTGTAACTGCAAGTACTATTGTCAGAGGCAATTGCTAACAAAAGACTGTCTGTATAAAAAGATATACCATGGAAGTACTAACAAAAGAAATATTTACCTTTTTACCATAGCAGGATTGTAAAGATAGATCTTCATAAACTGCCTTTCTTTTTCATGATATCCATAAAAAGGCCTGGAAAACAAAAATGCAGTATGATATTATATTCTGGTTTGACCTGCTCCAAATAATCACTTTGATGAAATGGATCCACATGTCTTAAATAACCATCAGCGGAGTAATAGGAACCTTGCCCATCACAGCCCAATCTGGCACTGAGATTCACTTGTACATATTATTTATAGGAGAGATTTCTTTATTGCAAGTCAAATATGAAATAACATAGAATGGATGATCAATTATTCCATTTCTCAGAAAACAGTTTGACTGCATATTATTTTTCAATCTGAAGTGAGTACTACTAGTTAATGATCCAAAATAAAGCTTTTTATAGTGCTGCACAAGTGAGAAGACATCATTCCGACACTTAGATGATCTCTTTACCCTTTGAAACTCCAAAAGTTTAAGACAGAACATGGATTAGTTAGCTATTACATTGCCATGGTACAAGAATACTGTCATACACAGCTGTGCTAATGGCCCACCCCAAGGTCTTTATTTTGGAACACTGTGGCAGCTAGATCAACACACTTTTTTATTGCCTTTCCAAAATACAGATGACGGGATACTTTTTTGCTTATTGTGCAGCTAAAGACAATTGCATAGCAGCCCTGATAATAAAGTAGGGAATGGCAACATATTTTTTTTACTTGAATCCAAATTATAAATTAAGGCTTTTAGAATAAATCTACACATTAATTCCCAAGACTATTCACGTGCAAATTGAAACAAATGATCAAGTATGGCATAGTATGGTAACGCCATAAATAACAGTCCTGCCAATTCCTACATTTGAAGCAATTTGAAATTTCTACCCACATTTACCTTGCCTTACAAAATAAATATTTCTAGTTTTACATACTGTTTCATAAATGTATAAATTTAATAACATTCTTCCAAAATTATCCCATCTGAACTGTTGATCAACTCTGACAACAGAAATCAACGTATTCTTTACATCAGCGGTTCTCAACTGTGGGTCGCGACCCCATTTGGGGTCGAACGACCATTTCACGGGGTCGCCAAACAACGCAGTCCACCATTTTTTCCCCCTTTTCCTTACCTGTGTTACTCCCTCTTATTCTATTGGCTTTTAAAAGCCAATAGAATAGACTCTATTCAAGAGACTCTATTCCACTGGCGTTCGAAAGCCAATAGAATCTATTGGCTTTTGAAAGCCAATGAATAGACTCTCTTGAATAGAGTCTAATTCTATTGGCTTTCAAAAGCCAATAGGAATTGTCCAGGCTGTCTCTGCCCTGATGAGCCTGCCAAAAGTCCCAGTCTGCAAACGGTGCTGCAAGTTGTCTGCAGCTAAGGCGAGCTTTCTGGACGTTTCCACCCCTTCCTGCTGAGCAACTACTAAATGTAAGTAAAAGAGGGCCAGGGGTGAGAGGTGGGAGGCCGGCGGGCGCAGGGAGGGTTGCCGGCGCACGTGGGGCCCGGCTGGTGCCTTACCTCCCTTGGGCTGGGCCAGCTGGTGGCCCAGCCAGTGGTCGCCCTGCGCCCTCGCGTGCCATGGCCGCCCAGGAGCGCCTGGGCCTGCCTGCCGCTGCACCGAATGTGTGGTGGCCAAGGTAAGGCTAGCGGGGCAGCGGCGGGCGCAGGGAGGGTTGCTGGTGCGCATGGGGCCCGGGGGGTGCCTTACCTCCCTTGGGCTGGGCCTACTGGTGGCCCAGCCGGTGACTGCCCTGCGCCCTCGCTGCCGCGTGCCATGGCCGCCCAGGAGTGCCTGGGCCTGCCTGCCACTGCACTGAACGTGCGGTGGCCAAGGTAAGGCTAGTGGGGCAGCAGCGGGCGCAGGGAGGGTTGCTGGCACATGTGGGGCCTGGCGGGTGGCTTACCTCCCTTGGCCTGGGCCAGCTGGTGGCCCAGCCGGTGGTCAGCCTGCGCCGTCGCTGCACTTGCCAGCTACACCTCAGCCAGCGCAGGGGGAAGCACCATGCATGCGCGGTGCTCCCGAGCCGAGGTGGTTGCTGGGCAACAGCCTGCGTGCACCCTCGGCCTGCCCAGCGTGCGCTCCAGCCGCAGGAGGCGGAGCGTGCGCGCCTCCTCCTGCCCCGCCCATAGGGAAATACAGGTAGTCCTCGACTTACGACCACATGGTTGGGGGTCGCGGCATTAGGAAGGTTGAGAACCATTGCTTTACAGCAACTATGGAAAGGTGGAAGTATAAAGTGCAGTCTCATTTAAGAGTTAAGAGGCCTTTAACTATAACTTAGAACCACTATTAAACTACATGATTAAGAAACATAATTTATTTCTCCATTAAGAAATATGAGATATCTTCACTAATGTAAGGGCTGGGGAAGAAGGGAAAAAGTTGTAATACCAGCTACCTTTAACATTGGCAGGAAACACCAACCAAAATCACTGTCTAATCCTTCCATAATGTCTTGGCAAAAATAGATGAAAAATATTTGTTCTACTAATTGGTTTTTCACAATTTCTTTCAACTGCTCAACCATTATATCTGCCAAGCCCTAACTGACCTTGTCTGGATTTAAAAACTAAGCAGGAATATAAGAACTATTAGCTACATCAGGAAGCTGAAGAACATCTTGGAAGAAGGCAATGACAAACTACAATATTTCTATAATATTACAAAACTAAACTCTATCCATAAAATCACCAGGCATGAGAGGCTCAACTTCAAGAAAGTTTTATTTTTCTTCAATTGTGCAGTTCTTACACACTGGTATCACAAGAAACACACAAGAAAGGAGATGAACCACCCTATAAACTATTCATCTCATAATCTCAGAGAGAAGGGATCAAGACATGAATCAAGGAGTGTACATAAGCTGCTTTTTTTTTTTTTTTGCATAAAGGACAAATAGCTTTAATCAGAACTTTCTTTCAAAACAAAACTCAAATGTCCAAAGTGCTCCATATTCCAGACTGAACAAAGCTTCAAACATTTAAAATATTTTGCTACAAGGAACAATTAGAACACAAAAGGTACAGGTACTCCCTGGTTTTTTTTATTCTAGGGCAGGGGTATCAAACTCAATTTCACTGAGGGCTGCATCAGCATTGTGGTTGCCCTCAGGGGGCCGGGTGGGTGCGGCCTACTAGGTGGGTGTGGATGGAGTGGGTGTGGCCTACTGGGTGGGTGTGGCCAGCTCTACATCGTTCGTGTCAAGGGTGCCTGTAGGTGCCTGGGCAGGAGTGGGATAGATCTGAGGGTCTCTGGCAGAAGGGGGTGAGACCGAGGCAAGTGCCAAGGAATGGTCCACTGGAGGAGCCTCACTGTTCCTCTCAGGCCATGTGGGGGGGGGGCTTATGGAGCTAAAACTAAATTTGTTTCAGCATAGATGGCCACCACCAAATTGTACACTGGCTTCCAGCTGGCCTGGGCCAGGGCCAAGGAAGAGGGGGCCGGTCCCTCACTGTTTCCAGGATGGTTTCGTGGGCCACATGAAACCACTTCGCGGGCCGCATCCGGTCCCCGGGCCTTGTGTTTGACATGTCTGTTCTACGGTTACAAGAGTAGGTAACAGTGATGAATTGGGTAATTCAATTGCCTATTACAGGGGTCTTCAAACTTGGCAACTTTAAGACTTGTGGACTTCAACTCCCAGAATTCCTCAGCCAGGTACGCTGGCTGAGGAATTCTGGGAGTTGAAGTCCACAAGTCATAAAAGGGCCAAGTTTGAAGACCCCTGGCCTATTACATACAGTATGCCTTGTCCTAAGAATAATTGAGTTAAACTTTGAAAACTTTAAATTTTTAAAAAAGTTATCATCCTCACCAGTTATCATCAGAAACAACAGGATCAATTAATTAAATGTGTCTCTACATAATCAATTCTAGAAACACAATAGAAAATGACACAGCATAATTCAGAGCACAAAAATTAGTAAAAAGTAGACTTTATGGCTATTGGTCTGAAGCCTCTTTCTCTTAGTAATGCCCAGCATAGTATATATCTGTATTTGGCAATCTGCAGGCAATACACAATAAAAGCAATGCAGTTTTTATATTTGGTATGTATTGTGAAACATAGTAGGAATGTACAGATTGCATACATTAAATGCTCAAACAAAAGCAAAATGATCTTTGCACTTTGAGTTACAACCTGAAATTTAATCACCAATGCTGGTTACAACAGCAAACTTTACATTTGCATAACCACACTCAACACAAAATAACCCATAATGAACTTTTTTTGGTGGAAGAAGTTGTAAACAATAAATTGATTCAGTGGCTCCACTGTTTATAATCTGATATTGCCTCTTAGCCTTTTATTGAACTTATTAAATGTTTTTAAAATTGTTTTGCATGCCACTAGAGTCGTGCTATGTGAGATGGGTATGTGTATAAATATAATCAATCAAATTTATCCAATAAAGAGAAGGTAAAAGAGGTCTTTACCAGAATTTGGGCTTGGGATCAATCATCTGGCATGCAAATTGAATACCCTGTCTCATCCATGCCAGTTGATGAATAGGACCCAGCAAACAGAGTCTATATCTAACAATATGATTTTAAAGAATGCAAGAAAGCAAAATGGCTGTCTGAGGAAGCTTTGCAAATAGCTGAGGAAAGAAGGGAAGCAAAAGGCAAGGGAGAAAGAGAAAGATACAACCAATTGAATGCAGAATTCCAGAGAGTAGCTAGAAGAGATAAGAATGCCTTCTTAAATGAACAGTGCAAAGAAATAGAAGAAAACAACAGAATAGGGAGGACCAGAGATCTCTTCAAGAAAATTGGAGATATGAAGGGAACGTTTCATGCAAAGATGGGCACGATAAAGGACCAAAATGGCAGGGACCTAACAGAGGCAGAAGAGATTAAGAAGAGATGGCAAAACTACACAGAAGAACTATACAAGAATGAGCTTAACGTCCCAGATAACCACAAAGAGATGGTCACTGATCTCGAACCAGACATCCTAGAATGTGAAGTGAAATGGACCTTAGAAAATCTGAACAACAACAAAGCTAGTGGAAGTGACAGTATTCCAGCTGAGCTATTCAAAATCTTAAAAGATGATGCAGTAAAAGTGCTACACTCAATTTGCCAGCAAATTTGGAAAACTCAACAGTGGCCACAGGATTGGAAAAGGTCAGTTTACATTCCAATTCCAAAGAAAGGCAATACCAAAGAATGTTCAAACTATCGCACCATTGCACTCATTTCACATGCTAGTAAAGTTATGCTTAAAATCCTACAAGCTAAACTCCAGCAGTATGTGGATCGAGAACTACCAGAAGTACAGGCAGGATTTTGAAGAGGCAGAGGAACTAGAGATCAAATTGCCAACATACACTGGATCATGGAGAAAGCTAGGGAGTTCCAGAAAAAAATCTACTTCTGCTTCATTGACTATGCAAAAGCCTTTGATTGTGTGGATCACAACAAATTGTGGCAAGTTCTTAAAGAGATGGGAGTACCAGACCATCTCATTTGTCTCCTGAGAAACCTATATGAGGGTCAAGAAGCAACAGTGAGAACCGAACACGGAACCACTGATTGGTTCAAAATTGGAAAAGGAGTCCGGCAAGGCTGTATACTGTCGCCCTGCCTATTTAACTTATATGCAGAGCACATCATGAGAAAGGAAGGGCTAGATGAATCAAAAGTTGGAATTAAGATTGCCGGGAGAAATATCAACAACCTAAGATATGCAGATGATACCACTCTAATGGCAGAACGTGAAGAGGAACTAAAGAGCCTCTTGATGCGGGTGAAGAAGGAGAGTGCAAAAGTTGGCTTGAAACTCAACATTAAGAAAACCAAAATCATGGCATCCGGCCCTCTCAATTCCTGGCAAATAGATGGGGAAGAATTGGAGGTAGTGACAGATTTTATCTTCCTGGGCTCCAAGATCACCACAGATGGGGACTGCAGCCAAGAAATTAAAAGACGCTTGCTCCTGGGGAGGAAAGCTATGGCAAATCTAGACAGCATACTAAAAAGCAGAGACATCACCCTGCCAACAAAAGTGCGTATAGTCCAGGCCATGGTTTTCCCAGTTGCAATGTATGTCTGTGAAAGTTGGACCATAAGAAAGGCTGAGCGCAAAAGAATTGAGGCCTTTGAACTATGGTGCTGGAGAAGACTCCTGCGAGTCCATTGGACTGCAAGGCGTTCAAACCGGTCAGTCCTAGAAGAGATCAACCCCGACTGCTCTTTAGAAGGCCAGATCCTGAAGTTGAAACTCAAGTACTTTGGCCACCTAATGAGAAGGAAGGATTCACTGGCGAAGGGCCTAATGCTGGGAAAGATTGAGGGCAATAGAAGAAGGGGACGACAGAGAATGAGATGGCTGGATGGAGTCACTGAAGCAGTAGGTGTGAACTTAAATGGACTCCAGAAAGTGGTAGAGGATAGGAAGACCTGGAGGAACGTTGTCCATAGGGTCGTGATGGGTCGGACACGACTTCGCAATTAACAACAACAACATGATTTTAAAAAATTGCTTCTTCTACCTCATGCCTCTCCCATGACCTCTCTCACCACTAGTATTGACCCATGGCATCAAGGGTAGAATCAGGAAACAGATTAAAAACTATGCTGGTGACAGGCCTTGAACCTCTTGGAACATGTGAAACACTTCACAAAGCAGCTCAATTTTGTTGTGAGCTTGGAACAAAACCAATGTGCTGATTCCAAGATTAGGCCAAACTTGCAAAATGTGTGCACATTATTGTGAGGTTAAAATCTTGTAACTGCTTTTCAGGTCTGGCATATTTGCATATCTCTATCACACAGCAGTTAAATTATTGCACATGTATTATTGGTTATGTGGCACTTCAGAAATGATTCAGGAAATACGTTTTAGAGCACATGACAGCATGAAAAAAACTAATCTGCAACTCTTGAAAGCAGACATACCTTTTCTCAGGATTATATGGCTGGTCTTTGCAACTACATTTGTGCCCCTCTGTGCTCCAAAATATATTTTCAGAATCAACTCTGAAGTATTGCACAGTCCTAATACATATCCTAATACATATGTTAATTTTACTCATTAGTACACAGACATTACTAGTTCAAGTTGTGGAGGAATGTGCATTCAAATTCCCATCTTGCAATGATGGATTTCTTAGTTACTATCTTTTCTTCTAAGTTTTAGAGATCTAAGAGGCTCAAATTCTGATAAGCATACCAATGCAAAATGACATTCACCACTTTTCCTCTGTATTTTAATTATAATCTTTCAGCTATTGTCTTTCCTACTCCCTCTCCACTTCTAAAATCCTCCATTTAAAAACAAGGGCAAAAAGAAATAATTATAATGATAGTTTAGTCAGTTACTGCTTTTAAAAATATTAAATAATGCTGAAAATCCAACCTATACTGAAAAACTCTGTAGCCAACTTTGTTAGAAAAAAAAGTAACAGACTTGGTTCTCTATGAAAATTAAAAGGTAGGTATGGCTACAGTAAATAGAATATCAGTTTAAATATTATGAAGAGAGCAGGAATCTGTTTTGTGTATACAGATACAAATAATAGACAACCCATGACCCTGAGACATGCTTTCAGAGATATTTCCTTATTTAATAACAGAATGACCACGAGAAGGCAAAAAATTAGTGGGAGCTATTTCTGACTTCCAGCCGGCTTCCCCCATTGACTTTACTGGCAGTGTCAGAAATCACAATCATGTGACTGTGGCGGCACAGCACATAGTACTATTGTAGCCACACTTTTGCCATTACAAAAGGTCTGGAGATTCTTGACATTTCAATCTGATGAGAACAATTTTGGGTGCATTCTTTAAGTTAGGGTTTGAGGTACCTCAATTCAAAAATTGTTGCCTTATGATGCACCATTCTGTCCAATTGAAAGTTACAGACAAACAGGAAGAAGAGTTTTAGTAGTACATAGATTAACCCTTTGAAGATTCTCAAAAATAATTTTATAATTTAATTGTGTTTAAAAAATAAATCAATACTTACATTCCATATACTAGTGACACTTTAAACACATGCTGAACAGAAGAAGATGGATTTCCTAAAGTAACATTGAGTGCCCGGTCAATGCTGAATGCCAAACTACGCAGATAATGATCTGGCAAATGTCCATAACCATCATATGGCACATACAAGTAAGGGAAAATACCATGTAAATGGAGACAGGTTTTCTGGCCTGAAGAAGAAACAAATTGTTCACAATTATTATGAAAATTAAGAAAGTCATCACTTTCAAATAAGTGCTAAAATGAGGTATGAAATATACACATAAAAATATACTATTTATTTATGCTATATTACAGACTGCAGTTATTTATCCTTTACAAACGATTCCAAAGAGGTATAGCACAGTAGTTTTCTGATATTTATTAAAGCAGTTCCTTTATTTTAAAAAAAATTAAGACTGCTTTAAGGACCCTATTGAAATGCAATTCTTTTAAAAGTCCTCAGGCTCAAAAGATGCCTCAAAAAGAGAGACTTCTTTAATAAATAGCAGAGAAGTATTACACTTGTTAGTAATGTAGAATGTCACTAACTACTATTTATTAAAGAAGCCTCTCTTTTTGCCAGTGTATATGATATACTTTGCTTTCCATAATATAATGTTAAAATTGTATTATTAAATTAAATAATTAAAAGTACTCAGTTTCTTAAAACAGCATGTATAAAGATATTTTATTTATTTATGATATCTGCATCCCCCCTATTCCCATAGGTTCTGGGTAAGTGATAAGTGTAAACAGATACAATACCTCCCCGAACCACCATAGACACACAAATACCGAGAGAAATCCAATGACAAAATACATTATTGACTATATTATTATTAAAGTAAATATAATAGAACTTTATTTTTAAAAGATTTCTAACAATAAAAATATACAATAATTAATCTGAACAGATCAACCCAGTAGATCAATATATTTAACCTTGTAGCAAAAATTTAACAAGACAAATAATGGTCTTTTTATGCCAAATGGAAAAAAATATTACTGTTATAACAAATCAGCATAGAAACTTCAAATTAGTACTGTGAGATGAAAAGAAATTAGAAATCTAAATTTTGCATTAATCTACTTTGCTTGGAAAAAATAAGATTTTGTGGGGTTTTGCTGTCTTCATTGTTTTTAACTCTTTTTACTACGGTATTATATTTACAACATAGATAAAACTATAAGTTCCTGTCACAATAAAATTTCAACTGAACAGATCAGCTGGAAGAAATAATATCTATTAAACAGATGCAGATGCTTATTAAATGCAAATTCACGTAGTTTACTTAAAATATATGTGATTTATGTAACTACGCATTCTGCATAATTATACAAAAGTTACATACAGTACATTATATAAAGTGTCAAGACCACTTCATCTGCCATTTTCACTATTTGGGGACTAACTTCAAAATCAAACTTACCACTTGTATCCAAAGTCCACTGAACAAATGTCCATAAAATTGAAGTTTTATTGAACTATATCCAATTATTATCAGAGCATATGCTATCTGCTAGTATTCAATACATAGAAATATCACTTAGGGTGCTTTTACTTCAGGGAACTACTGTATTTCCTGTCCTTTTTTCAACAGATAAACTTTCATGGTTAGGGTTGTATTAAAGTATTCATCCTGTGTACAATTTACAAACCAGTATTACAATATAAGGTACTAAATCATTACTGAAATTTAATTAACTCAGAATATAATAACTTAAAATCAGATTAAAATTTTATATAAAAAAAACAGGGACCACACATATCCTCTCTTAGACGATCATAAAATAAATAGGGAGGACTGAAAATCAGGGGTCCCCAACCCCCAGGCTACAGCCCACTACTGGGCTGTGAGCTGTTCAAAACCGGGCCGCCCAAGCAGTAATAAGCATATGTGCGTGCACAAATACACTTGCATAAGCAGCAAATGGAGCTGTGCACAGCAAGCTGTGAAAAACTTCTTACTATGGTTAGTAAACCATCAGGAGATGCAACAGTGAATGTTGGTCTGATGTGTTCGATAAAGATCTGATATAATATGGCCATTTGTGCAGTTTAATTAGAATCTTTTTACTAACATAATTCAGATGAAACACTAATCACAATAAGCAGGATTATGGGTAGTTCTAAAGGGTTCCTAAACTTTCTCTAATCACTGCAGATATAAGCTTAAGTTTACTGTTTTAATATTGAATCTATGCCACTAACTTCTGCTTTGGAACATTTTATGGGAAAGCTGCCTAGTTTACAGTGCCTGGACAGTTCATTTCTGACCAAAAGGAATTAAACTTTTAAGACAATTGGAATGAATATATGTCCTGGTACAAGTGAAAAGCTAGGATTTTTCTTTTTAAGGTTTAATGTGTAATTGCCATGCTGGAAAACAATATTTTCTTCATGTTATTGCATTCTCACTGCCAGCGGGCAAAGATAACTATGACTTACAAATCAATATCTGAGTCCAATTAAAAGTACCTGGTGTTAACCTATCAACTCTTATATAGCTCAATTCCAATTTATCTTCAGGATAAACCATTCTGAGCAGAATCTGCCTGTCCTATGCAGTCATAAGAAGATGCTTAGGTCCTAACCTCATAAAAAATTAAGGGGGAGGAGTCCAAGTGACATATATTTTCAGTGGTGGTACCAACATCTGCCTACCACCTATGGCTTATTTAGCTCCCACCTTGCTGGCATTCCTGAAAGCAATAAAGAGTAGTGCAGTCTCAGGCCCTAACAAAAACTACAGGTAGTCCTCAACGTACGACCACAATTGAGCCCAAAATTTATGTAGCTAAGTGAGAAATTTGTTAAGTGAGTTTTACCCCATTTTACGACTCTTCTTGCCACATTTGTTAAGCGTATCATTGCAATTGTTAAATTAGTAATATGTTTGCCCATTGACTTTCCTTGTCAGAAGATTGCAAAAGGTGATCACATGACCCCGGGACACTGCCATCGTCATAAATGTGAGTCAGCTGTCAATCATCCAAATGTAAATCATGTGATCATGGGGATACTGCAATGATCATAAGTGAAAAATGGCCATAAGTCACTTTTTTCAGTGTCGTTATAACTTTGGTCACTAAGCGAACTGCTGTTGTTAAGTCGAGGACTACCTGTATTTAATGATCCACTGCATCAGTTTGGTAAAAACAATAATGTATACTAGTTACCTGCATCTATCGTACCTTAAATTCTATTCTAATTGCAACTCATCTACCAGTCATTCTCCTTTAACAACCACTTGTTCAGCAACAATTTGAAGTTATGACAGCACTGAACAAGGGGATTTACAACTGGTCCTTGTAGATGCAGCTACTGCAGCATCCTCAGTCACATGATTGCAATTCCAGCTTGCAATTATGATAGCTGCAGCATCCTGCAGTCATGTGATTGCCCTTTATAAGGTTCAACGGGCAGTAATTTCTCTGCCTTTTATTAATCTGGGGAAATTTTTACTGACAATAAGCTCCTCTTACCTGAAAGAGATCACTTTCAATTTAAGTGAAACATCTATGTCAGGGGTGTCAAATTGCCGGCCCACGGCCGGACGCACCACGCGGAACCTGCGCCCATCTCATTGCCGGCAATGGCAAAAGTCCCAATATGTTGCGTGATGTCATGTGATGTCGCAAATTTGACGTGTCTGATCTATGTGATTATTGTGTATTAAATATATGTGAGAAAATTTAAACATTAAGATATGTAAGGTAAGATGCTTACCTTAAACCAAATAGTACTGCATTTTCTTGTGTTATCTGTTTCCTAATATCAAGGGATCATTCTTTCCCCCAGCAAACAATTATAACTGTATTCCAAAGGGAAGACAATTCCTAGTAAATACTGATAATTTTGATTCTCCTCTAGACTCCAATTCAAGAGTATTTCATTTGTGCACAACCATAATGTACTGAGAATCTCTAAATCTTTTGTTTTAAAGCTCTCATATAGTCAAGCAAGAAAAGTAAAATTAACATTAGGAAATTTATAAATGAAAGGCTACACCATAGCAATAAAACCACACTTGATAAAGCTACTGGGCATTTAGCTACAAAGAATTTTATAAGTTCCTCACTCTGCTTTAGGTAATCTGGCCTGTTTAGATGTTTGTCATGTACACCAGGGGTCTCCCACCTCCAGACTGGTACCGGGCAGCGGCCAGTTAGGAACTGGGCTGTGCAGCTGGAGGCATGCAGCGAGTCTACAAGGATCTGTGCAGGGGCAGGAGAGTGGCAGGGCAGAAGCTGGCTTGCTCAGTTCAAAGGTTCTCCAGCGGCTGCGCTTGCAACTAGCTTGCAACATCTGAGCTCAGTGTCCTTCCTCCTCCTGCTTCTTATGTTCTCTCTTCTTCTGCCTCCTCCTCCTCTTCCTGCTTCCTCTCCCTCCTGCTACTTTTTCTTCCTCCTCCACTTCTTCCTCACTTTCCTCCTTTTCTCCCTCCCACACCCCAGTTGGGCTTGTGCTCCCATCGCGCAAGTCTCCAAATTTGCAAGGCAAGCACGCGCCAACCCAGCTTGCAACCGGGGACTTCCCCAAAACCTCATTGGAGGGGGATCCCCCCCATATATGTCTTTGTGAGGGTGCTTTCTCAAGGTGCAAATAGGGGCAAGGAGAAGCTACCTTTCACTTTAAACACTGCGTCTTCAAGGGAATCTCTCTCTCTCGTTTGCACCTTTTCCAAGGCTGCTGGGCTTGCGCAGTGCCCTCCCTCCCTCTCTCTTTGAATGGCTTTCTCAGCACTCCCTCAACCTGCTGAATCTTTGGTTTGCTTTGCTGGAAGGCTGAATTTAGGATTGCCTCTTTTCCTTCCCACTTTCTTAGAAGCAGAAAGTCACTGGTTTAATCTAATATAATGTAATAATAATAGAAATAAAGTGCATTATTTATTTGTTTATTCAGAAAATTTAGAATAAATATAATGAATCATTCTGAAATCTCCCCCCCCCCCCAGTCCATGGAAAAATTGTCTTCCATGAAACCAGTTCCTGGTGCCAAAAAAGTTGGGGATCTCTGATGTACACGATTTAGTTGTTAATTTAGACACTTTTCACTGATAAAATGAAAAGCATAGAAATTATAGAAAAGTAAACTATTTGTTCATTTCAATTAACTGAAACTGAAACATCCAAAAACATTCTCACATTTGTTACTCAGCACAAAAAAATCTTTTTCTATAATGAA